CCCCTTCCATGCACCACCTGCACTCCGGGTTGTCTCCAATGCCTAGCAAGCAAAGATGCCTCTTAAGCCTGCAATGTCCTGTGTAGACCTCTGTTAGTGCTCTAGACCCCCTACTGGTCAGTCTAAGCAGCTCCTTGGTCTGAGGCAGGGCGGGCCCATCCATCATAAGCCTGCCTCATTCCCTGAGCAACTCTCCAGCCCACCGCGGCCAGGTACCTCGCTCAGGCTTCGAGAGCTCCCCGCCTCACACACGGGGCGATCCCCAAGCGGGGCTCTGGTCCCATATGCCTATGCGAGGAGCCCTCCCTGGCTACCGGCGTGACCCGAGACCCAGACCAACGTGACCTTCCTCTCCTCAGCCACTCTCCTCAGTACCCCTTTACACTCCTTTATCAACAAGGAGCGCGTACGCACTGACTTCAGCGCCATAAGTGCAGCCCTACTATCCGAGCAGAAGAAGACCCTCCTGCTTCTGTGGTTCAGCCGAAACACCTCTCTAGCCGCCATCAATAAAGCGAAAATTTCCTCCTGAAACACAGTGCAGTACTGACCCAGAGGGACCGACAAGCTTGACCCCGTTGTCTCGCAGTACGCTCCAGCTCCGGCCAAATCTTCCATTCTGGACCCGTCCGTGTACCAGACAAGTCCATCACAGGACCCAACTCTACCCTCTCTCCACTCTTCCCTTGATGGGAAGAGAAAGGTCCATTTATCAAAGAAGGTCATCTCGGGGACCATGACGTCACTCGGCATGCCCATGACCCCGCGATCCCCGGGCCAGCCCTCTAAAATGTCGTACGGGCCCCGATTGAAGGTTCCCTCCCTCCAGAGCCCGCAGCTCGTCAGCCACACAGCCATCCTGGCCGCCTCCATCCCATTGGGTTCAGATCTGGCCAATTTTTTTTTTGTCTAAATCATTCTTTCACTAACTTAGATGAGTGCATTTCGTTCATTTTACCCGGTACTGAAATAGTTGACCCTGTCCCAGATCGAGAAAATCATCCCCAGACCATTACATTCCCCCTCCATGTTTTACAGTAGAAATTTGGGACTTTGACTTGAATCTTGCGCTAACCAGCCTTTTTGACATATTAGGTGGTTTTATCAATCCTGGAAGTAGTTTTACGAGGTCTTGCCGACTTGGACGTATTATTCACATCACGTATTTATGTTTCAACTTTTGCTTTTGGAAATATTTAATACCGACTCTTTTTACCAATTTTCAATAAATCTAAAAATTTTTGTTTAAAATCAGGGCGGGTGGGCGTGGTAAATTACTATTTTTACACGACATTTACAGTGTATAATCTGAGTTTCAGTACATTTTTCCACCACTGTCGGTCAAAATTGTTCCGCAAATGCCACTTTGGGATTTCAAATAAAATATCCAAATTTTATTTGATTTGGATCTTGTTTACCTACTTTGTTAACATCTGTTTACGAAAAAAATTGATGTTAATAAATTAAATTGACTATTTTTTCCGCAAGGAATCCAGAAACATTTAATTTAAACAATTTAATAATGATAAAAACCAACCAAAATTGCAGTTGCACTATTTATGTACTTATCCTTATACCTATTTTTCACCATTTTTAAGTGCTATAATAATATTTCTACTTTGAGTTCCAAGAAGTTTGACAGTAACAGACAGTTTTGCCCCATTCGATCGAGGCACCGAGGTTAAGCAGTTACAAGTAATTTATGAAGAAGAACCCATCATCTAAAACTGGTACACCCGATTTCACACAACCAGGCAAGATTTTACGTTTTTTTAACAAAGATTTTACAGATTTTGCGATGATTTTACGGATATCACTGTTTTTGATAAAGAATTTTTAGGTTATTTGCGGTTTTTGATATATGCACCTTCTTTATAGTTTAATTTGTTTATTGTTAAACGATGTTTTAATCAAGGGAAACAACATTTCAGAAATATATAATTTCAGCTATTGCACGCAGTTATAACACAAAGATTTCACAGCTGGTACACCAAATTTCACGTGCCCTTTACACGTATACATGACGTCTGTTGTGATGTATTTCAAAAATATATGGGCAACTTTCCTCAAAAATATGTGCAGTGGTCATAGTGGAATTTTCGAATTTGTTTTTCAGCTATCATGTATAATATAAAACGTGTATCTTTATAATTACATATACACCCTTTGTATCCTTGTAAAGGATATTTGGACAATGTTCTCATTCCTTGTACGGGAGAAACTGGACAAACGGTACATATTATCCAGGTTACGTGTTGATAAAGCGTGAGGTTAACGAGTCATATGAATATTAATAAAATGTACATATACCGTTCCGACTTTTGCACAACATACGGTTCATTAGAAAATCTTGACAAGACGTAACCATTTATGAACGTGCTAATTAGCTTGCTTCAATTGTAACTCATAACGTTAAAAGATTATTATTGACAATCCGACTTTATTCCGATCGTTTCAAAAAAATTTTATTATCCGCCCGATCGATTTGCTGTAAGCAGAGCGTCTATACACACAACAATTAATTTTAATGGGATTTAATGCTCTAATAGGATTGCGGCGGATTATCTGCAAATACAGTTTTGTCTGGTTATATTTATATATTTACTTACGGGAAGGAAGTTTAAAATAATTCCTCGTTGCTAATTGTCTTCAATGTTCCGTGAAATGTCTATACGACTGGTTTTTAAAATTCAACTTGAACAGCGTAATAGTATTTTTGAAAAAGTGAACCACGCAATCAACTCTTCAATTCAATACGCAAAAAAATATATTTATAGAAATAAGGAACGCATCGAACGCATGTCTTTGTTATTATGTTATTATTTGTTTATTATATCTCCGATAACAGTATGTTGAATTTTCAAGGTATTCGTGTTTGTGGAATGGGTTTATAATCTATCCATTTGCTTACACAAGGGACTGAAAAATGGCATACGGATAATATTGATAATGATTTAATAGACGAATTTGTCGAATTTAAATAATTGCCTCTTTCTCTTTTTTTTTATTGCTCTATTAGTCACTAATGAGATCTTTACGTCTAGTTTATTGCAAAACCTTATTTATCAGTGACTCATTTGCCGCGGGCAAAAGTTTGGGACGCGTTGGCCCAGGTATATTCCTTGTTTCGCCGTTCAAGTTGAGATTGGAAACCAAGATGTTTTCCTTCCGTTATAATGTCTAACGGTCGCTGTTGCGTTTAAAGCAGTAACTTTCGATTAATTGGTATTAGTTTTATTAAAGGGCAATAATAAAGAAATAAATATATACTTAATGGTCAAAATAGAAAAAATATGTACTTGGAATTGTCTATTACTATAGTAGTTTGGAAAAAAAATAAGTACGAAGAATATCAGTGAGCAAATGTTAAATTTATTCTTACCCTACCCTACCCTTTGGTTCCGAGAGAAAAAAAATTACTCCCCCATTAAATGGAAATTAGTTTGGATACCGGTCACGCAAATTTGTTGGGATTAGCACCAAAAGAACTGAAAGCTGTTTTATTTTAAGGTCTTCAAATTAAAAGCATCTTGTTCAAGATCCGCCATCAATGAACGAGACTGCATCTAACGCTTAGTGTTCATTTGTTCAAGTAGTACAAAATGAGTATTACGTAGAATTAGTTTAAGCTAAGCTTTCATATTCATATATATTCTGGGTTGCATATAACATGAATAATGAAAGTTCACTACCTCTGCAACGACATAGGTCGATTTCCATAGAACTTAGGTGATTGTAATGAAGAACAGTGGAAAAGATTCTATCAAGATGGAAGATCGTTGTCAAGGACGATGGGATAGGCACATGATGTCCGACTGCGGCTAAAGCTTTCAGCAAGACTGTCCTAGTAGCATCCTGGAAAGTGGTAGCAAAGAACATTTTTACTTGACAGATGACTAATGAATGTTAATTTCGTTTTTGTGCCCATAGGTTGTTTTGTTTCTCTTAACTGTCAATAGAAATATAACATTTATAACGTGAGAGTACAAGATTGCTTTCGCAACCTCGTCGCTGCGCGACTCCACCTCTCCATGCGGCTTTATAAATTAAAGAAGTCGCTTCGCCAACCTAAGCCAAGACCCCCATTTGCACTTTTTAATATAGTACAAAATGTCCCGTCCACTTTTTGCAATATGCGAAACCATCAAATATAAAAATTTTAGTTGTCCATACTGTCGGTGTGGCCATGCAATACAGAGTGATAACTGAACCATAGTCCTCTAGTTATCTTCAATTTTCTGTAAAAAAAGAATCCATTTTTTAGTTTTTTGCAATTTGTTGACGCACCCTGTACATTATCAATAAATATTATTCCTAGTGATGTGAATCTCTCTGTTTAAGATTTTTTATGAACGTTGCAAAGGTGGTGTTTATTTTTTTGAAAATAGTTCCCGACCTCCAGCCCCTCCGTTTTAATAGGTTCCGTTAGAGGACCTCGTGCGCTAAATTTGAAGTGGATAGCTTGTCGTGTTTCATTAAGATGTACGAAAAACTTAAGGAGCCAAATATCAATACTTTAGCTCAAACTGTTTCGAAATTATTCGCATTTTTATATATCATCGATATAGAACAGAGAACGGAGAACAGACAGACAAACTAATTTTTTTTAGACGCTGATCATTTCTGTCCCCTATATCTCTGCAATGTCAATTTGCAGAGATATAAGTTACGTTGCCAAGCGCGTAAATCAAATATAGACCATTAGAAACTAGGTGCATTGGTCCTTTTAGATTATGCACTCATAAATGACCTAACGACAGCCACCAACATGTATGTTGGTCTAAGTGATTTATTTCGAATAAATTTGTAAGTGGCCAACATAAAAAGTTTTTTTTTTGTATCTCTGCTATCGACCTTGTGACGTTAGTTTGATTACCGTTTTCGACAAATTGATAACAAGATTCTCATGACGTCACGCACGTTACTGTCTACAACTCTCTTATCTACTACGATATCGTTATTTGAACGTAGAATCTGAAGGTAGTTTTCTATTGTTGCAGATTCGTCCAAGATTGTACAAGCAATGAGATCCCTTGAAGTGAACGAACCTCTGACTGCTCCGATGGACGAAAACGACGACATATTCGGTCCTCCTCGCGTTTACTCAGCGAGTTCGTTTGCTCCGAAAAATCGACCCTCTATGATCTCGGCCAAGTACAAACAGAAGGAGGAGCGACGCAAGGTGCTCAAAATCAGCCTAAATAAGCTCAACAAAATCGAAGACCCGGAAGCAAGCCTGTGGCGGTCGGTCTTGATCAACAACACCATGAAACGGCTCCAGCAAGAAACCAGCGACGAGAACTTGCAGAAGCAGCAGCTCAACTATCCCCGTTGCTACGACAACGATCATTATTTGAACATTAAAACGGAGTTTTTGCGAAACGAGAGGGCCCACGACGAGCAGGAGAACGAGAAGGTACTCGAAATGTTGATCGAGAACGATTTCGATACGAAGCTGGAGGAGGAGATCAAGAGCGTGAGCATCAAGAATATCGACATACTCGATAACTTGGTCGACAGCAATTCGACCAGCAATTTTTCTTCGGTCTCTGAAAAATCGTCGCCCCTCAGAAAGCGTTCGTTCGACGACATGGACGACAACGACAGTCAGGACGCCCTTTCCCAATTCTACATGCCCCCTACGCCGAGGATGCTAACCGGCATCGACGATGACGAAGACGTCAACATTGTCGACGAGGATCCCCTGATCAAAAGACTCAAAATGGACGAATCCTCTGCCCAAAGCGAAACGTCGAAAAGTTTCTCCGATTACAGTGTTGCCAGTTTTATAAACAACAATATATCGCCTTCGAGGTACTTGGGCGGGAGCCAATGCTTGCTAGACGAGTCCAGCACCAATTCGTACAGTTGTGGCCACGCCTCCATGTTCTGCGAGCTTCAGAGCAACGTTTATCACAACCTGATCGCTTCTTTAGAGACGTAACGTTGTCAACGCAGCATGTGAGCAACGATATGGGGCTTTCAATTTCTCATGTGATATAAACGGTACGGTTAGGTTGGCTGCTTTGATATAAGATTTATGCTACCCCACTCAGCCGAACTATTTCTTTTCGATTATCCGCGTCCATGGAGAAAATTAATTAAAAAAATCGAGTCGTATATGTTCCCCGGTAAATATCTATTTTTCTGACTTTGGGTGGCGGGAAGTTTGAATCAGGGAAGTCTTTGAATTTTGAACATAAGTAATAAAACCGCAATGTTTCGTAATTAATGTCGCATTATGTCAAAAATAGAAGATATAATACTCAACAGAAAGCAAAATCAAACAGCGAAGCTCCTATTAGAGGTTGCTTATGCTTTATTATAACAACATGGTCTTACATTTTTTCCTTTCCAATTTCCAAAGCTAAGCAAATACCAAAAACAAATACCTATTATATTATTTCAATTATTTTAATATAATTTTTAAATAATGAAAGCCCCTTTACCCATTTTATTTAACTCTACAATACCTGAGTTGTTCCAAGCTGTGATTCGTTTTTCACCAATACGACTTAAACTTGACAGGTACAAACATAAAAACACCCAGCATAAAACAAAACACTAATACTATTCGCAAATGTTCTGGATTGCTGACGTTTCGCCAATCACCCTGTTGGTTTCTTCAAAGCTTAACTAAAACTGGTTTGCAATCTACTCTGTACCTGCATATATACTGTTGAAGGGAGGCGGAGCTGAAGCTACCTTCCATCAATATCCGAATCAGTCAGACAATGTCCATGCCCTGCTTTAGCTCCGCTTTCCCCAAACAGTATATAAGCAGGTACAGAGTAGAATACAAACCAGTTTCACTTAAGGTCCGAAGAAGCCAACAGGACGATTGGTCAAACGTTAGCAATAACCGACACAGGAGGAATCCAGAAGATTTGTGAATAGTTTTATGATGATGATATTTGATAATTGATATTTTGTTTTCCGGTTTTTTTGCGTCGATCACGATTTCATTATGATCGCTAAATACCCTCCGACGTTTTTCCTTTTTTGATGAACTATTCCAGCGGGCACAGATAAACGCGCAAAGGCCCACATAAGTGGTAACTCGATTTGTTAAAATTTGAGACGTCTCGAGTTGCCGCATTTAGTTCGCCACTCTCGTTTTATTAGTTTTTCTCTATGGCTGCAACTTTTTTTTACGATTCTCAAGAAAAGTCTGGAAAATTGAGCCGCGCAGCACTGTCCGACTCGTCAGTTCCTAATAATATCTTGGCAGTCGCGATTTCGCTGCGCAAGTTCCTACTCAATGGCGATTGGTCGTTTCTCAGACATCACGTCGGAAAAGAGTGGGGTTGTGTAAAGGAGCATCGCGATTTAAAGCAGTTTTCTTACATTTTTAATAGCTCTCTCTCTGCGGCAGCAAAAGTTGACAATGGCGTCTCGCGCAAGCGCAGATACGTAACTCGTGGTCCACGTAACATTAATCGCTCTTAGACCTGATAAATAGTAAGATGTACAAAATGAAGTTTCTTTTAATTGACTTAAACTTCTTAAGCGTAAGACATATGTGTATGTGTGTATGACATCTTTCAATTTTTATATATTTATACCAAATAAAGTTTATCCCACCCTATGCTAAAAAAGCAAATTTTCAAGTGTTACAATGTTTCGCGTTTTAAAAATTTATTCTTTTAAGTAGCCCCCTGAACATTAAAAGACAATTTGAACGACATATAATAGTCGTGCTCTAAGGCGACTGTTTCGGAATTACGTACCATCTTTGTCACAATTTAGCTTTATGTGGCTGGTTATAAAAATAGTGAAGAGCAAAGTCTTAAAGTATAAAATACTAGTTTGGTGTTTTTGGCACTAAAATAAAGTCAATTAATTATTCAAAGAGCATGATGGCCAATGATTCTGGAAAGGTTAATTTATACCTTTATTGACCAAAAATAACCATCAAATAATATAAGCGGGAGTTCCATATAAAAATCTTCCAATTTGTTTTACTAGCATAAGGCAGCACGAACTTGAATCTTTTCAACGTTTTGGTATGGTATTTGTACAGTATTTAAAATGACAGCTGTTTCTACCTGGCCAGCCAGCGAAACTAATTACCCTGTACATCTACATAAAAACCATGGCCTTAAGAAGTTTTATGTCAATACAATACATTGTTTGTATTAAACTTTTTTTTGTAGATCTTACAATTTCCCAGATCGGATGGTGTTGGGCCATCTTATTTAGACCCCACTGTACTTGCGACTCTATCAGTGACAGTTTGTTAATCAGTTTTAATGTTTTGTCTCATCTTTGAGGTCACCGCAAACGCCTTTTGTATTATATTTGTTAAAGCGGCAAGTAAAAAATCGTTCTCGTTTATTGAAAATCAAAATGCAATTAGCATCGATAGAATGGCCTATTAACACCGATAGCGATCGAAAAATATTAATTGTAATAGGTACGCATCATCGATCGCTATGAACGATGGCCTAGGTAAATTCGAACTTTTTTTTGTTTGTTTTTAAGTTTATGTTGCTTCATTGTCTTAATAGTCCGTATAGTTTCATTGACCGTTTCTAGTATTCTCCACGATCTTACTCTATTTCGTTTGTTTACCGGAAAAGTTTACCACGCACACACGTACACATGGCGACTATAAATAGAGAGCAATCAGGCTGTGATACTTAAATAATTAAAGCGTACGTTAATAGTTGAAATATATATTTCGGAGAGGTGACGTGATCGCACTTTCTTCCGTATTAATGTTCAAATATGTCTCGTCGCGTCATTCTAGCTAATGTGAAATTTCGAGGTTTTTCTACGTAGTGGCTTGATTGGTAGCTGCGTGAAACGTAATACGTATATCAGGGGGTCGCAAGGGTGCGGGGACGGGCCCGATAATTTTAAAAAATCGACACAACAAAAATACGTAAAATATTGTGAAGGGTTCGTCCCGCGCCGCTCAGGCCGTCTGTAATTTTATTGGTTCGCTTCCTCAAATCGGAAGCCTATTATCATATGTGTGAGTGTTACTAAATAGACAATTTAAACGCGTTTTATAGAATTACTGATAGGATAAGTTTTAGCGTTTTCAAGCTTGTTTTATTAAATTCGCGATTTTTTACATTCGTATGTGTATTTTTTGACTTGCGATTTCTGTATTATTATTTTATTGTTAATATTTGCTTTGTATAGTTTTATCATTTCCTGCAAAAGGCGTAAATCCTGTTACTCTGCCTTCTGTTTAGTTAATTGTATTTTTATTTTAATATTTAATAGTTTTCTCAAATTTAATTTAGTTGAATCTTTGTATTTATTCACCGTTTATTATTGCTGTTACGTAAGCTTATGAGCGTTACATATTAATAAATATGTAGTCTTATTTTTTGTATAAAATGTTTATTGGTGTACCAAATCATGTATAATGTTACCACATTCAGACTTGTCTCATTGTATATTACCATTTATTGTATAAAATATGCGTACATGAAGGCATCATTCCATTTGAGGAGTATGCAATAAAGTACCTGCAAAAATTCATATTGTTTTTTGTTCTTATTTTTCCCTAAAAGTAGTAGTGATTAATATGGAAAATAATGACGGATTCCCGCAAGCATCATGCTCTGAGGTGCTAATGAGAGCCTATAGGACACCTTACTATATATGTAAGAAATTAATAGTAAAGAGCTAGCTATATCTGACATCAGATATCAGAAATAAGTTCTTTAGAGAAATTAGGTATTTGAGCGTTTTGAGAATAGAGAATACTCGTTAAATCGCAGAAATGAGAAAATAGAGAATAGGTCAAGGCAAAAATTATACCTAATTTTTTTACTGTCCCCATCTGCCGCCCAACTGTTGAATTAAATTTAGTGTTTGGGAGCGTACATTTTCGCGGCATATTTTGTCAATCCTTTGATAGATGGCGCATAGCGTGAGTGTGAGGCGGATTACAATAAGCCAATGAAAAATTGCCACATTTGACAGATGAATTTGCATTTGACAGCGAAGCCGGTTGTCAGCTGTGTTGTGAACACTGACGTGGTTAAAAGTTTTTCGATGATAAACGATTATTACTGAATCAATTACGACACAGATTTCTAGTCCTCGGAGAAATTGCAAAATTCAAAAGTAAGTACACATAATTATATATAAAATATGATCGTATAACCTCAAAATGTATTGTCTGTGAAATTCATTCAACACATGGTATTTTAATTTCAGGAGAACATGAGACTGCCAATTACACTTTTGTGTTTAGTAATATCGCATATGCGGATAACTAATGTTGCTTCATTGGCGGTTATGTCAGTAGATCTGGGTTCAGAATGGATGAAAGTGGGTATTGTCTCGCCTGGAGTTCCAATGGAAATAGCCTTAAACAAAGAATCCAAAAGGAAGACTCCTGTTGTCATTAGCTTTAGAGATAATGTAAGATTATTTGGGGAAGATGCCCAAACTGTAGGTTTAAGATTTCCAAAGCAGGCATACAGTTATTTAATAGAGTTACTTGGTAAAAGTATAGATCATCCTTTAGTAAAGCTATACCAAAAAAGATTTCCATATTATGAAATTGTGCCTGACACAGAAAGAGGTTCAGTGCTTTTTAAACAGGATGAACAGACATTTTACAGCCCTGAGGAATTAGTTGCGCAGCTCTTAGCTAAAGCAAAAGAGTTTGCAGAGAATGGAGCTCATCAACCAATTAAAGAATGTGTTTTGACTGTTCCCGGTTTTTTTAACCAAGTTGAGAGGAAAGCCTTGTTACAAGCGGCACAAATGGCTGGCCTCAAAGTGCTGCAGCTTATCAATGACTATACAGCTGTGGCCCTCAATTATGGTAAGAAACTAAACATAGTTTTTGTAATTATGACTTCTCCTATTTGCTTGTAAAACCAAACCTATTTTTGTTTAAACATTTGTTAGTTTCCAGCCATTCAGAAGTACTAAAGTTGATATTTTTAAATGGCATCCATAAGAAGATTTATTTCGAAATAAACATTGTTCTGAATTATATTTCTTCCTTCAAATATCCCTATTTATGTTTTACATGCTTTGAAATAAAAAATATTTCTGTGATTTTACAGTTCCTGTTCTATCAGGTTTATCTAAAATGTAATGCCACCAATGCAGTTTAGTCAAAAATGAAAAAAAAAGCTAATAACATAACAAAAAAATGTTTTTCCATTTGATTGACTCATTTTACATTCACAACTCTAAGTTGGCACAGTTCTTGGATATTATTACACTACAGGTATAAATCTACATTTTTCTTTTTCAGAGCTTTATTCAACCGAATTCCATTACAATACTCATTGTAGTCTGTTAAAATTAACAAATATGTCTACTATTTACAAACCTGGATTCGACTTGCGTCGGTTGTTGATGAAGTGAATTTGCTGCAACAACCGACTCAGGAGGAATTCGGAAGACTGTTGAATAGTATTTATAGTAGCCTGTAGAAATTTCTTTGCAAAATTAACAAATATATCTTTCGGCTTGAATATATAAGCGGGGTCGAAATAGGTTTATTTAAATCAGTTACTCTCAAATATATTTATAATACAAATAGTTGCTTGTAATACTATTTGTCACGTCCCATAGCTTAAACAAAATAGAATGCACAACCAAATTTAACACACTATGAAATTAAAATTTAAATTCCTCTTTCAAAAGTTTATTTGCGAAAAAGTGATGCAACAAGTCAAATATGCACTTATTAACGCTTCCATTAAATTAATTTTTAGGCATTTTCCGTTCAAAATCGTTTAACGAAACAGCACAATATGTCATGTTTTATGATATGGGTGCGTCTTCCACTACCGCCACCCTCGTCAGTTACCAAACATTAAAAACAAAAGAGAGAGGTTACGTCGAAACAAACCCGCAGGTTAGCGTTCTCGGTGTGGGATACGATCGAACTTTGGGAGGCTTGGAAATCCAGCTGAGACTGAGGGACTACTTAGCCACGAAGTTCAATGAAATGAAAAAGACACCAACGGACGTCTTCGAAAATCCCAGGGCTTTGGCTAAATTGTTCAAGGAAGCCGGCAGGCTGAAGAACGTTCTGTCGGCTAATGTGGAACATTACGCCCAAGTTGAAGGATTGTTGGATGAACAAGACTTCAAATTTTTGGTTACCAGAGACGATTTGGAGGGATTGATAAAAGATTTGTTTGATAGAGTGCCTAAACCAGTTGAACAAGCTTTACAGGCGGCCCATTTGACGTTGGATGTTATTAATCAAGTTGTATTGGTTGGAGCAGGTAAGAACCACTGGTCGAATGAATATTGCTGTGTATAAGGCAGGAATATTTCAAAGGCAGGGTGCTACAAGGAAATTTGGAAACATAACTTAAATCTATTACTTCTATTACTTGAAGCTATTACAGGAAAACAAAGTGTTGTGCTCGAGTGTGAGTTTCACCGCTGAAACTACTAAGCACTGCTATTTACGAATGTACAGTGTCTTTTTTTTAAACAATGGGTACCCCCTATGTTATAACACTCTGATCAACATGAGCATGCAGGTGTTTTGATCTATATTTAGGGTTATTGTAATTCCAAACAGAATAAAGTGGTCAATGCAGAAACAAAATCTTTTTTGGTCTTCTCTGTTGGGGCTAGATTGGCTGTTAAAAAAACGTGGACTTAAAATGGATCTATTTGTCATTGTATGAACAAAAAAACGGTACCAAATCATTAGGAACTGTTTTAAGCTCAAATTGGTACTTTTTCGGGATTAATTCTCATTAACAAGTGCATTATATTTAAAGAACTTTGGCGAGATCACCCCTATCAATTGTGGTAATAAATACCATTATGGTTGTCAGGTTGTCAAAATTTTAGATATCCTTATTTCCAAGTTTAGTTTTGGTTTTCGAGGTTAAATAATGTAAAAATTAGCTAAACAAGGAAAGACTTGAAGTTTTCTTTATTTATTGTAAGAATTGAGAATTTCTGTTTTTGAATTAAAACTAATTTTAAGGACGTTAAAAGCTTTTAGTTCCGTATTATTGTTAATAAATATGTCTTAAACAATTAGTTTTTTGTTGCTGTTATTTTAATGACCAAGAACTATGTTTTTGATTTTATCATTGGATCTGATAAAAAAAAAATCAGAACTCCTTTTGTCAAATCTGAAACCATTTAGCGGTTTTGGACACACAAAAAATTTGTGTTATTGCATTTTCCTTATGAATGAGTGTGACAAATTTCCTCTGGGTTAGAAAAACTGTGGAAAAATTATGTTAAAAATGTTATTACTTTAAAAATTTAAAAATTTGATTGTGAGAATTTCATATCAATATTTATGCAGGGTGTTATCGAAGTGACCTTTAATGAGTGAATGCAGGGTTTATAACAAATGTAAACAAGTGGAAAAAAATACTCTTAATGGTTGGAGCGTAATATTCCCTAAAAAGCTCCAAAGTTTTTGAAAAAATACCTAAAGTTTTCCGTATTAATTTCAGTCTAAAACAAAACTACATATGAACGCACAAAAATGTATCTGTTGCTGCAATGAATATGCACGGTGGCATAAAGAAAACCATATTATAATTACCTCGGTTTTCAGTATTTACAATAAAATTTTTGTAAAATTCCTTCAATTTTGACGAAGTTTCTTGTCTTTTTTAATTTAAAATAAAATGTGAACCAGTCGATTTGTCACTTTAGGGTTTTTTTTTTGTAATTTTAGGTCTTCAATTTCAGCAGAGGTCAAAGTTATTTTTAAGATTTGTAATGAGAATAACCTAAAGTGACAAATCGACTGGACCACAGTTTTATTTTAATTGAATAAATAAAAAGAACTTGGTCACCTTCTTTTCAAAAGTTTTTGCAAAAAAGGACCTTCATGGGAATATTTACATTAAAATGGCCTTCCCAGAGTATGTAATGTCATATATTTTTGTCACTTTCGGCTATATGGTTCTGGTTTTCGTCTATAACTTCAGTTTGTTGCCCTTTTCTAGGTACAAGAGTTCCCAAAATTCAAGAAGTGCTGCAAAAAGCGGTTAATCAAGAGTTAGCGAAGAATTTAAATACCGATGAAGCCGCTACGATGGGTGCCGTGTATAAAGCAGCCGACCTAAGTACTGGGTTTAAGGTGTCTAAATTTATAACCAAAGATGCTGTTCTTTATCCTATTGTGGTTACGTTTCAAAGAGATGTTGGGGACGGTACGCCGTAATTATTAGCAGAATTACATACTGAGTAACAAAATATTAACATTTTAGGTGTCAAAACTGTTAAACGCACACTCTTTGGTCTCATGAATCCCTACCCTCAAAAAAAAATCATAACTTTCAACAAACACGTCAGCGATTTCAACTTTATCGTGAGTTACGGCGAATTGGAGCATCTGCCCGGAAACGAAATTCTCAATCTTGGGGCCAAAAACCTCACAGAGTACAAACTGACTGGGGTCGAAGAAGCCATTAAGAAAACTTTGGGTGAAAACATGGAAAGTAAGGGAATTAAGGCTCACTTTAATATGGACGAGTCCGGAGTTTTGCATTTGGCAAATGTAGAATTGGTGGTGGAGAAAACAATTTTGCCATCCGAGGAAGACGAAGGAACTTTGTCGAAAATAGGTTAGTGCTGTAGTTTAGACATGATGGAGACTGATTTACTGTTTAATTACACCGTAGGAACGACGTTCAGCAAATTATTTGGTGGTAAAGAAGAGAAACCGGAACCGGAAGAAAATCCTCCAACGGACGAGAAACCAGTCCATGAAGTGCACGAGGAAGAAGCGAAGCAAGAAAACGTCAAAAAGGAAAATTCCACCTCGGATGAAAAGAAACCAAATACTATGGAATTTAAAAACAATACGGGAGCGCAATCACTGAAAGAAGAAAAACCAAAAATCGTCACCGTAAAGGAGCCCATACAGTCGTCGGAAATCATTCTTTCATTGGGCGTGTTAGGCAAGGACCAATTGGAAAAATCACTGGAAAAGATAAAGCTTCTCGACGATATCGAACGCGATATTAACAGAAGAGCGACGGCTTTAAACAATTTGGAGAGCTTCGTTATCGACGTACAAAATAAGTTATATGAGAACGAGTACAGTGAAGCCGGCACGGAAGAGGAAATCGGAAAAATCCGCGATGTTTGTGCCCAAATCTCTGATTGGTTGTACGACGAAGGTTCAGATGCTGATGCCAACACTTATGAGAAAAAGTTAGATGAAATTGCAACCCTCACAAAACCACTGTTCAGTCGAGTTTGGGAACACAAAGAAAGGCCTGAAGCACTGAAAGCTTTGCACTCGATGTTGAATCATTCCAGTACGTTTTTGTTGACTGCCCAAAATTTAACAGCCGAAACTAATCCTGACAAGGACATCTTCACCGATGTAGAAGTGGAGGCTTTGTCAAAACTGATTGTTGAAACCACAGAATGGGCAGAGAAAACAGTGAAAGATCAAGAGGCGTTAAAAAAGCACGAGCCCGTTAAGTTGACGGTAAAGAGTCTCATGGACAAAATAGGAGCTTTAGATAGGGAAGTAAAGTACTTGATAAATAAAATTAGGTTATTCAAACCTAAAAAACCGGAGAAACCTGCGGAAGAGAAACCGACCGAGGATACTGGCGTAGCAGATGAAAAAGTAAACGTCGAAGAGGAAGTTAAGGAAGAAACTCCGACGATAGAAGAACCAGAAATAAATGCGCAGGCAACGGAAAATGGGGAAGGAGAAATAAAACCCAGTGCTGTAAAGGACGATAAAGATTCTCACACGGAGCTATAGTAAAGTTTATGTAGTATGAACAATCTTAGGTGCATTTAATTTAATTTTAATTTATTTATAAAAACTTCCATGTCATCAATAAAAAGTATTTTTGTTTGTTAATTGTTTTGTAATTATAAATTAAAATATTATGGATATTTTCTAAAATATTTAACAGACTTTAACTTTTTTCATTTCAATGGAAGGTAAAAATTTAAAATAAACGCAATTATCACTAGACCTTTGTATATTGAAAATATTCTTAAATAAACAAAGTGGAGGTGATCAACATATTAAAGTAGATTCAGGCCTAGACGCTGTGCAGATGTAACTGTTATGAGATCATTATCAAAGAATGAAAATGCCCCTTTCGCCCCTTTACTTAATGTGGTTTAATTGTTCTACACCTTTTCCTAGAGAAGGTAACTTTTTTCCGCGCATGCCTTTCCATTTCACCCACTAACCTTGGGACCATTTTCTTTCTAAACTGCGATTTTCACGCTTAACTCGTTTTCCTAGAACATCTGAGATCTAGGCATATTTTAACAAAATATTGCCGAATTCAAACTTATTGATGAGTTGTCAGTGGCCATGTTAGTTGGCGAATATCGCAAGGTCATTGGTTAAAGACGAAATTTTAAATCTCGCGAATGCGTATGTTGAATGGACCTCATTTTTTTTTTCTTAATTACGTCATAAGTTCTTGCACTGTCAGCATAGGCAGGGCCTCTATATGTCTAGTACGTATATGATGTTAAGTAAGCCTTTGGGCATTTTCTAAAGGAATCACTGAACTCTAGTAAGATTAGCATCGATTTGTTTTTATTTTGTTAGTCGTTTGTTAATTTAGTTTTAATTTTGGATTATTATGACCAAATGTCAGAACGATGAACTTGTGACATTTTGAAAATTATACATATCATTTTTTAGTGGTTATGTCCTATGTTTTCTTTTTTTTGTCGCTTTTATAGTAGACCTAATGCTTATTACACTAAACCTTAAATTTAGAAGAATCGATGCAAATTCAGAAAATCGTTCTTCTGTCTTATTGGATATCAATCGGATGGCAGTTTGATTCACCAGACGTAACTCTTTTAAGTCACTAACCAAGTGTCTTAAAATACTAATTAACCATTCCCTAGCAAACTTGTATGGAGAGGTAATGCGCTTATGTTATAAGCTATTATTTAATAAAGGCTTATTTTATAACAGAATGGCCGTTTTCGATTATTGCCATTAGGCCGTGACTGACTTTAACTCTAATATTTAGTTACTTTCTTTTTAATAAAATAGTTTTATTCTGAATTATTATTTTTGTTTCAAGTGAATCGGCCAACGTCACTGCACCAGCATGTGCTGACGCTAACTGATGTGAATAATTTCGTCAACTTATTATTCCATGGTCTATTCCTTTCTGCAGTTCGTGCCTGTGCTTGGCTTGGCTTGATTTCGCCATTTTGTTTCCGGTTATTGTCGAGTTGGGCGTCGCTTCGCTTTATTTTAAGAAATTATATCTTGTAATCGACATGGATATTGAAAAAGGAGTCAAAGAACCAAAAAATGAAGACGTTAAAAAAGAAAAGTCGAATGTAGATCACGATGGGGAACCAAGGCATCAAAGTTTTGGTAATAGACGTGGAGGCGGCTTTAGAGGGAACCGCTTCGGTGGCAGAGGAGGACCAAATGTAAGTTTTAATCCAGTTTATCATATGTGTATACATATTTATTCAAAATGCGATTACGAATTTGTCTTTATATGGACAAACATGCATTCAATTTATCGTGAAATTAAGTTTTGAGGTTCTTATATGGTCGCTAGTTCAAATTTATTCTTTTAGTTTCTTCAAAATATGTGCAAATTTAAACTGGACTTCTAAATTGCAAATGCGATTTGTTGGGTAACAGTCAGGGAATATATATATTTTTTTATTAATCTTCGTTTTTTGCCATTTTACTTATATGCTGTAGGCGTTTTCTTTAAATACAATTTTTTCGTTTGGTTTTGTCTCTATATAATTATATTTGTTATATAGTTAAACCAATTTGCAAAAGTTGTATCGCTATGGCAGACATCGGAATTGATGATTTTTTTAGTTGCTCTTCTGTTGTGTTGACCGCAAAAAAAAATTATTTTCAGCATTATTGAATTTTTCGATGGTACATGCCATAATGAAACTAAATCTTTATTTTTTAAATATTTTTCTATTATATTTCTTTTTCATATTCAAATTCTCTCTACATGTAGTCTGTTAGATTGAAAAAAAAAATTGGTGTTTGGTTTGGAGCTTGGAAACTTTTTTTGTATATAATTGAGAATGGCGTTTGGAGATTCAGATAATTTATTTAGACTCTCAATTTAGGTATTTTAACTATTAGAAATTGGAGCAGGAATGCCAACTATATTAAAAGTCCTGTTATTCTTAAAAAGTTATATAAATTAAATCCTAAATCCTTACTATGACAGTAATAGAGTTTTCTTGTGAGAAAATTTGCATTTTTAAAATTCTAGTTGTAGAATCTAAAGTTTTTAAGGTGCGAGAGACTTCAGAATCAATGCGACCGCTTTAAACAATATAAATATTTTTCTCGATTATAACAAGGAATCTGATATTACTTGATTCAACCTGGATGTGACTACGTCTGACAAAGACGTTTCTTTTTGACTTTACTCTTGTACACCAAATTTGCATTATTGCGCATAGAATTTTTACAGTATTGACCACGCGAAAAACCTTATTTTCGCAGGGTGTTTATATAAATTTTCTGCCTTAAAAAGTTGAACAAAATAAGTCGTTGAATCGACCAGTCAATATTTTTAAATCTTTTGATAAATCAATCAATTACTGAAGTGAATTACAAAATACAATGACATAAACAAATACAATCAAAACTGGATCAGTTGTATAAAACATACACAAAATATAATAAAAGAATACTGGAAAAAAAGATAAACTTGATTTAGCAGTACCACACAATTATCATTTCTGGTAGTAGCAGTTCCAATTGTGGCTCTGATGATGAAGATGTTTATTTCATCGTAAATACAAACGAAATATGGTTTACTTGTGTATTTACTCTTGGCAAATGATTTTGTATACGGTATGATATATGTTTTTTTCATTTTCCGATTTTTTTGGTATTGTTTTAATTTTTATCGCTTGGACAGAGTTTTCGGATAATAGTTTATTAAACAAATTATCATAATTTAACCGTAATCTATTATTACATAAAATATACATGAATCCATCTCTGAGTATGGGCATACTAATAAAATTAATAAATGCAAAGTACAACTGATTCTGTCTCTTTTATTCCCAAGTAATATAATCGTGATCTGTTGAAGTATAAGTGGAGGCAAGATGAACAGTCTATTTTATTCTCCATAATCAAATTAAGACTACTATTAATGCATACAGCAAAGAGGAAAGTAGTGTTCTCGATAATCAAACTTAATTTTTAGAGCGAAATAAATTATTTTTATTAACCAACTTTGCTGAATTGGCAATTGATGAAATAGAAGCGATAACTGGTACGGCTGTCTTGCAAGTTACATACTCATTTGGTCACCTAAAAAATAATTGTTTTAATATCTACTTATCAAACAGCTTTTGTATAATAGTCGGATTGAGTTCTCGGTTGAATCAAATAATCACTAAAAACAAAATGTCAAACTCAGCATGTGCTCAATACATGGAAGACTCGCTTGTGTATTTCCTATTTCCTCTTATTGGTCACTAATTCTCATAGTATAACCGTATTTTACATTCAATTGCCACAAAATTGCCTTATTATTTTAGAATTATAATATTTTCTCTAACATCTAACTCTACACACTCTCATTTTCGATGATGAGACACCATAAGCATGAAATAAAGATTTCACTTCAAAAACGCCAAATGTCGGCAAAACTCATAATTTTAATTAAAAGTTTCTAAACGTAGGTGCATAAAAAAATGTAACCAGTGAAATTTGAAAAGGACAAACATATTTTTTTTGACAGGATGAAGTAGAAGAAACGGTAGTAAATCAAAATGTAAAAAATCAGACACCACTCTGCTTTTCATCAGCCAATTAATAAACTTTAATTTATGAGGTGTTAATTCAGTATTGTATTGATTTGTTTTTCTCACCAAGATAATTTGATCTGAAGTACTTAATTGTACTCAAAATTAAAAAAAGATATACCATTCCAATTAGTCTTTCGGATTACTTCCTTTAATATCTACATTTAAAAGCCATAATTTGCGTGTGCAGTGCAGTGTGGGTTTCTTCATAGTTAACAACACATACTAAATCGTTTGAGAATTTTAATTTTCTTTCTATTTGAGTTGCTGATGGCGCCAGAGTCCGAAATTCCAAAAAATTAAGCGATTCTCAAATTTGGGATATAAGTTCAAGTAGACACGAAATCAATTTGCAAATGTAACGGTTTCCACCTAGTTAAAATTTTAATGAACAGTTTACATATTAAAACTAAATTTACGTTAGAGATCTATGTGGCATAAAGTACTCGAGTAACAGATTTATGGAAACCGTAACCGTATCTTATAACGTCTATAAGTACAATGGACTTCAGGAAGAATAAAAAAAAACTGATTTAAACGTCTCGTCTCGATAAAGATTGTGTGCAACACACGACTTTGGGCAGAGCGGGATTTGTTTTCTACTTTTTTATATTTTTAATTTGTTTTCTTTTTTCCTTATATACTACTTTTATTTCCAGTTCTAGAAAATTTCCATTTTTGAGTTACTGTTTGTTAAGGATCAGACATAATACGCAAGTATCTATTTGAATATTCCGTTCAGTGTCGAGAGGTTGAACTTGAACTTTTTGTAATTGTTTTGGACTCCTTTTTTGTAATCAAAAGAATAAATTTTGGGATACTTTCTGTATCATTTTGTTGTGAAATAAATATTATTATTATTAATACCTATTTTTCACATTCTAATAAAAACATTTTAATCAGTTTATTTTGGAATATATAATTTTTCGTCCCAATGTTATATATCGTTGACAAGAGAGAAAAATGGTCTAATTAATTCAACTTTCATTGTACTCAGAGAAGTGGTAGGATTCTCAGTACATCTCAGCAAATCTGCTTTACCAAAATCTATATATACAAAAATCTATTGTATGATTTCCTTCCTTTTGTGATATCCATCACATTTTTTATGATTTCATTTTTTTTTTAAATATAAATTGTTAATTGTTTCTAAAGTCAGATTCTCTTCTTCAAGTGTTAACTCATATTTTTAACTTTAAGGGTTCAACATACATTCTAGACAATGATATGCTGTGAGTGTCTGCTTATATCGATCCAGAATTTTTTGTTTGTGGTAAAAGTAATTCTACAAAATTCTGGAAGATATATTGTAAATCTTTTCACTGCTCTACAGCATCCGAGTGTTTTTTTCTGCAAAATATGAAAAAACTGATATTGGTTTTAAAATATTCGTGTGCTGCATGTTTAAGCCCAATATTTGACACCTTTTGGTAAATGGTGGAATCAATTTGGTTTTTATTCTCTTCACAGATTTTTAATAATATATTTCACTGAGTGACCTCTTTAAACAATCAGCATCAAATTATCGTTGCTATTTGTTTATCAATCTTTTCTTTTCAAAACTACTCAAATTAGGCTGATTTTCCGTTTTTTTTTTTTTGTTTTTTTTTTTGTTTATACTTTGCGGAGGTTTCCAAAAGCTTGACAAATCTGTGGTAAGTGTTGTGGAACTCGAGGCAGACGATGTAGTAGCAAGATTTACAGAACTCTCAAGCGACATTCCAGTGCCTAAAAAAGACATATTTTATAAATTTATTCCGTTGTCAATAAATGATAAACCAAATACGCGCCCAATTTTCCTTTCCTAAGATAAAGAAATTATACGATATGAATAAGAAATATTATTTTTTTTATGTGTCGTAAAAAATAAAAATAAGTAAGTATCTAAAAATTATAAACATAACGTAAATTAAATATGCATGAATTCAAATTTTTGCAAGAAAAGACAAATAGGACATGACATTTTTTAATTAATTAATACCTTAATTCTTTTGAAAACGTTTTTCTGAATACCATATCCTTTACTAGATGGAAACTTAAATAAAAATGTATTCGTTTCTTGCTGCTCATTATCGCAAACATCATGGTGTGCTTTAAGTTTTTGAGCTATCGTTTTAATTTCTTTATTGCATATTTTACAAATCGCTCTACACCCAGATTATTTAGATCTGTTGTTTTAATGTTAAAGTGTCATATGCCATATTTTCTTTTCTTCTCGTCATTTAAATGTTTTCGCCTAATGGTCTATTTTCCACAAGTTCTCCTCCTTTGACAAACCAGCTACTAAATACGAGAGACGCATTCGACAACGACAATTTATAGATCGAGAGAATAACAGGTCGCGAAAGAAATTTTCTTGCAAAGAGCGCGTGCTTAGTGTGTATATTGTACTATATTGTTTATAGTGGTTTTAAAATATTTTGTAATTGGGGAAATACATATTTTTATGAAGTTAAAAAAAATATATTATTAACAAAATCAAAGTTTGCCCAACACTGTTAGTCCTTTTTTTGTAAAAATATTTTGTCTGTTTCTCTATGACCTATCTACTTTGTAGTGCTTGGAATTAATTTGAATAAAATTTTTATAAGAACTTTCAGTCGATTTTGGACTTATCTGTTTAGTTCTCTTGTGGAAAATCTTAAAATGGTAGATTTATCTTTTATTGGGGATTTTTAAAGTTAAATGTTTTTTTTGTTACAGAGATCTGGCGATAGAGAGGGCAATTTTAACCACCGCAATGATGGAGACTTCCAGGGCGGTCCGAGACGTGGGCGTGGCGGTTACCGCGGAGGTCGCGACGGTGGTGGATTTAACCGGCAAGACGATATGGATCTCGGCGGTATGGACCAAAGGGGTGGCGGTCGCGGACCCGTCGATAAAATTCAAGAAAAACTTAACGCCCTTTCCGGGCCGACGTTCGATCTGCCTCCGATCGACATGAGCGAGAAGAAGTTTAACGGTCGAAACAGGCTATACGTCGGCAATATCGGGAACGAGGTTACCGAGGAAGATTTGATCGAACTGTTCAAGCCTTTTGGCGAAACCGCGGAGATTTTCGTCAACAAGGAAAAGAACTTCGGGTTCGTCAAGCTCGACTATCACATGAACGCGGAGAAAGCGAAAAATCAACTCGACGGTACGGTTTTGAAAGGGAGAAATTTGAAGATTCGATTCGCTCCCAACACCGCCACCATAAAAGTGAGGAATATCACGCCGATGGTCACAAATGAGCTCTTGCATTACGCGTTTAGTCCGTTTGGGGAAATAGAAAAGGCGATAGTTTGCGTCGACGAGCGAGGCAAGCCGACAGGCGAAGGCATCGTTCATTTTACAAGAAAATTCTCAGCCACACTCGCGGTTAGAAAATGCACCGAGGGATGTTTCTTCCTAACATCGTCTTTGCAACCGATCGTCGTCGAACCGTTTGAAGTTGTCGACGACCAGGATGGCTACTCAGACAAGAACATAAACAAGCGCAATCCCGACTTTATGAAAGAACGCGAACAAGGTCCGAGATTGGCCCACCCGAATAGCTTCGAGTTCGATTATGGTCAGCGCTGGAAGGCGCTGTTCGAACTCCATCGTCAAAAGGAAGAGGCGTTGAAGAAGGATCTGCAACTTGAGAAGGAAAAACTCGTCGCTCAGATGGAGTATTCCCGGTACGAGCACGAGACCGAGATGCTACGGAATCAGCTGCGGGCGCGAGAAATGGACAAGGAGAGGCAGAAAAGGGAATGGGAAATGAAGGAGCGTCAGGCGGAAGAGGAAAGGCAGAGGACGGAGGAGGCGATGAGGCGTTCCCAGGAGGAGATGGAAGCCAGGATGTTGGCCAGCCAGGAAGATATGAGACGAAGACAGCAAGAGAATAATTTGTTTATGCAGGCGCATAACTTGGATAGTCTTTTGGATCAGACTGAGCAGGCCTATGATACCCCTTCATATGCAGATGCTCCAGGTAAGACATTAAGTTGCGCAAATTTATTTTGTTTCTTTATTTTCCTTTATTTTCGAAAAAGATTTCTTTTTTAAGTTATGACAATATGATTAAAATTACTATCAATATTAGCAGGCAGAGCTTCATAGACTTTTATATCCTTGTAGCCCTTTTCAAACAAAGTGGGGAAATATTAGCTGGAATCTGCAGATGTTTTTAAAATGAATGTACATATTTTCATATAGGCTATAGTTACTTTGAAATAATGTTTATTTTTATTTTTTTTATGTTTTTAATTATTTTATTTTTTTTTTTAGCTGGAGGCGGTGTTGATGTGGTAAGTGTTTTCATGTTTAACGATTCTTTTTGGGTTGCGGTTATGGGTATATTTTTATATATTTATAATAAAATAATAAGGGCATTGTGAATATCGCTGCAGCTTAGTCAGGTTATTTTGGAATTGGAAATCAACTTATTTATTCCAGGATTATTTCTTGGCCAATATCTTTTGCCTTTGGTCATTTATCCGCAAGTCGAAGCCGGGACATATTTCTAGGTTTTTAATTGAAGAAGTAAAGTTAAAGAACGTCCTGTCTAAATAATATTGAAATTTGCAGCTTTAATCTTGATTTTTCTTTCAGAATATGCTTTGCTATGTATTTGGTGATTGATTCTATTGTTTTGGTCAATATTCGGATAAAGTACTGAATAATTTGTATATTAAACATTATCTGATGTTGTCATACTTGAGTTATTTTTGTAAAAAGGTTTTGAAAGATTGTGAAGAATTCGTTATTTTCGAGTACGCTAAGACGAGCTTCGTTTATTATTGTGGGGTGGGGCTATAAGAAATTAATTGTCAATTGACTGAAAAAAGTCGTGAACCCTATAACGCGTCTTACAATATTTATAACATGATTTCGATCGCAGTACTGTGTGTGAAATTATTTAACGCTGATTGAAGATCGAACTTTATATATTGCTTAGAAAATTTTATCCCTAAATTGGCAAAAACGTGGAATGTGCGGTTACCTCTATACTAGCAAAGCTAAACAATGAATTCTTCGGAATTAACCGCGAGGGATATGAGTTTTTTTGCGTACCTTTGTTTGTTATTGATCTGATATTATTCTTTGGCGCTTCCGTGATTTATGAGAGTAGTGTTAATATTAACGTATTGCTGCGTTGCAATTAAGAAGCGGCCTGAACTGAATTGCTCGGGAAGTTTGGTAAAAAGTCGATAATTTACAATCTGGTATTTGAAATATTCGAAATTTGGACTAAAATTGGCTTTCCTACCGTCGTTGAACCGTTTTACACCTGTGTAATTGTTGTCATTTAGCATTTATTTATTTTATTAATATTATATTTTGAAGCCAATAACACACACATGTGGTTTAGCAGTTGGTGGTGTATTTGTTTTTCGCTGAATTTCTACTATTGCGAGATTGGAATAATTATTTAATAACCATGGATATTTATACTAAATATTATTATTAGTTATCATTACCATTATTTAATTATTTAAAAACCAAATTTGAAAGTTCTTGTTGAAGTGTTACTAAATTTGGTATTTTTCCCCGTTTGAACTGATTAAACATACGAATAGAACTGAAATATTTCTTAAACGTTATTATAGTATTGGCCGCTTTTTTCTTTAGTATGTTGTCACGCCTTCAGATAGCCATTTTTCCTATGAAATATTGTGTAGTATTTCCTATTTCCAAATTTGAAAAAGTGATTATTTTTCTATAATTCAATATTCACGTTGGGAGATTTCTCTTGTTGTGGTGTCGTCTGCGTCGTCTTTAATTGAAGATTTTCATTTTGATATTGTTTCTCCAAATTCTTTTTATTTTACAATCGATCACTAGCAACTTGATAACCGAATTAATATATCTCTACAACCATAGCAAATTTCAGTTTGTTTGTTATTTCGCAATTTTTATTCATTCAAAACACCTGGTTTTTCTGCCGTCCGAAAAGGCAGTCTGATATGCATTACAGGTTGCCCACAATTAACTCTTGTTTTATTTCTCTATGGATTAGGTAATTAAATATTCCAGATTGATTTTTGTTTATTGTCTTATGATGTCGTTGATGAAATTGTCCGTGTTTTTTCTATGGTACATAAAAAGATTCAAAGCAATTACTTTTTTTGGCTGTGTAAATTCCACTATATTCTAATCTCATAATGTCAAGAAACCGATTCGTTATGAAAGTTTTTTCTTCATTTTTTTGAAATAAAAGGCCACAATCTGGAAAATTGTACTAGACTTGTTACATTTTTAAGCGAAGCACATTGCATATTTTATTTGGTTTGCCTCATTCGTCTTGTTTTAAGCGTTTCATAAAAATATAATATTTTCAACATTTAGAAGTTCATTTTTAGTTCACTGTGACTACAAACATTAGCAGGCGGAGAATAGATGTTTTCGGGCTAGTTTCACTATCCACTCACTATCAGCCAATCACTTAAGAACACGAAAACATAATTTATAGCCTCTAGTGACTATTCGCGATGAAAAAGATATAAGTAAGCCATGTGAGAATTCTAAATTATAAACGCACAATTTTACTAACAATAGTATTAGTATTAGTAGTAGTACAATCAAATGACTTGTTAAAATTTAAAAAATATGTGTGAGATCAGCAATATCTACAAATCACATAAAGCACAATACAGCGCAAATATACGACAATTAAACATACGGCCGGTATACTTGGTCGATACGCAGAGTTCTGAAAAATGGGGGGAGAAATCTCTGTAATGTTTCGCGGTTCGATTGAGATGAGCTTTCTTATTCTTTTATTGTTCTGTGCTTAGATCTGCAGCATACTATTCTTTGCTTTTTATTTAAAAATGTAATGGAAATTATGTTGGAAATTTTGTATCATACAGGACTAGTATAGTAATATAAAAAAATCTGGTGCATAGAACAGCACAAAATTATATTTTTCTTTATGTACAACAATTTGCGCCGTTCAACAGTCGTGTTCATTAGACGACGAAGCCCAAAAGTTTTGTTAATCATCAGATATATAATATCTAATTAGTTCTGTTTCATGTAAATGTGTTTTAGTCGTAATACGAATTTATGAATATCTAATATTAAGATATGTAACTAGAAAACGGATCATATTCTTAGCTTGCGGTGTGCCGATCATCCGGCATTTTAAATATTTAGAATTTGTACCATTATAAATTATTATATTCGGTTTATTTTTATCATTAACCGCGACGGGTATAATTATAATCAGATCAATAACAAACACTTCGAGGTATTTAATTATGACTAGCTTTAAAAATTGCTTAATTTGTATGGATTTCAAACAGTTTTTTCTAAGTTTTTATAACTAATTTATTTTTTGCTATTCTTAATATCAATCGATAAAGCTAGTCTATTGATTAACCGGGATGATTTAATTATTTTTTTTGTGATGTGGACCACATTTGTTGGCTATTAATGAATTTTTGATTTGTGAGGTCATTAACAAATATGACCTATTTATAAAAGGTTTACCGTCAAATAGCTGAGGTTCGTGCTGCACCTGACGCGATTAAATACACTAATGCCTCGCTTAACACGTTCTGAAAAACATACGGGTACTTTTTACAAATAAGAGATACTATTAGAAACGTTGTTCATTTTCTAAAATCTTGCTGCCTTCCAACCTCATATACCTTTTTTGGTATGCGAATAATGCCAAAACAAATAAGGCGAGAAACCAGGATCACGTTAAGTGGGGTATTACCGTATACTTACCAGTTTAAGTTCGGGTTTATGTTTTCGAGATTTGTCTCGTTTAACTGATGAGATTTTGATTTAGCTTGTTTATGAACACCAAATTAAACCAATTGCAATAAAATGTGGATTTGCCAATTGATTATTGATATAGGATCTTAAAATTAACAACTGTACTCCATTCGCAAACAAGACAGAGTAATAAAATGATATGAAACCCTGGCCCGAGTTGTAAAATATAACGATGGCCTATTTGCCAAATTTTATATTTTTGTAGCATTTACTATTATTCATTATTATTTAATTTTGAAAAATGTTTGAACGCGGTATTGGCATTATTATACCGTAGGCTTTGTTTAATCGCATTTATAGATAGATTTATAGCAAAAGGAAGGACAATATGGCTGCCATATTGAGCTCAATGCGCAAATGATAGGGCATATGAGAATATCAAGCTCCATAGGAACGAGAAGGTATTTTTGGCTGTCCCTAACCGTTTAAATTTGAATTCAACAATTATGTGGTGCCAATAGAAAAATAATGCACTGACCACGGCAACAAATCGATATTTTCCGGGTTTCAAGAAGTGTCTACGCCTGTCTTATTATTTCTTTCACCCTGCAAAAAAAATCGAAAGAAAATTGTTACTCCCGTTTATATGATTTAAAAATATTTATACCAATATCGAAATAGAGAAAATCGCGCGTTTTTTGCTGACCTGGTATACCAACATTTTATTATCAAAATAAACGGAAAAAATAAAGAAATTCGGGATATCCGTTTGTTGAGCTACATTGGATATATAAATTTAACATTGTCTTCAAATTTGAGCGAGGAATTTGAAATAATTGACAGCCAAAAATTGTATATATTTCTGGATTGTTTTGTATTGCTATAAATAATTAATTAGTCTCATGGTTTGGCATATTGTCAGTACCTTTTTTATTTGGTCTGGAGTATTTATTACTATCTCTCCAAATGAACAGAGCGTGGTATGAAGTAGGTTCTCATTTTTTTAAACCATTTGTTTGATTCAATGATGAAGCGTTCAATTTGGTGTGGATAAGCAAATTAACTCTGGTTAATTTCGACATGTAGGTCTATTTCCGGATTGGGCCAGTATTCTTAATTTTAAGGAATACGGATGTTGTGAGCAAAAAAATGGGGGGGGGGCGTGTTTTTCTAAAATTTTAAAATGCTGTATTTAAAAAAAAATCTATTAAAAAAACAGGGAAATTTTTACTCCACAGGGAGGAATCTATTCTGTGGGTCATAAATCATAGAAATTGGGGAAAAGGCAAGATATACGTGTTTTTCTTTCGTCTTTTGTGGTTATTCACGATATTTTTGCTATAAAGTTAATATTTAGCCAACTGGCATGACATTATCATTGCCGACTATGGAAAGGCTTTGGGTGAGATTGAGATTGGAGGAGGTCATTTTTTCAAACGGTTCCCTTTTAAGTTTCTAAGAGAAAAGATATTTCGACTAACAACACCAATCTATTGTTCCACAATTTGTGGGTGTGACCACTAATATTTGAAGCTTTTTTATGGTAGAGTTGATGGTATATTGGATAGTTGTAGTTATTGAACCACTATTCTCCGTTCCATTAAAAATAACAGGTTAACCCGACGTTCATTGGGTTCATGGTCGTTGAAAAATTTGGCAACATGATTCCTTTCTCCCTGTTTAAATTCTGTTGTCCGATTTTGGTTTGCAGAGAAATGTTTAGGGAACAGAAATCTTAAAACCTTCCTGGGGAGTAAAATTTTTCCCTTTTTCAAGAATAGGCCACTCAGCGCCCTTTTTATTAGCTCAGGAGATGCAAAAATAAATGCCCGTTTCGGTTAGTGGATCGCAATTAATGCAGAACAAGGAAATACGCGAAAATGGTATATTAAGAAACGCTTGTGAAAGTTCGACCGAATAATGTCTGTAACATGGTCTTGTATTATTATGCTAGGATCCGAAACAATTCATGAGCTCATACGAGCGACACAACCGTTATGAGGGACACGAGAATGTCGGGTCACGTGGTTCGAACGTTGGAGGTAGAGGTCACTGGGTGTCCGATCGTCGTGACGATTTTCAGAACAAAAGGCGCAGATTTTGAAATACCGAGGAGCCGCCGCCCGTTTGAAATATCTGTCGCCGTGTGTAGTTTCGGGCGTTTGCGTGCAACTATCCCATTCGCCTTTTTATTTTAGTTTTAAATTCTTGAAATTAAATACTTAACCGATAAATTTCATTTTTGTCTTGTAAGTATATCATCACGTAAAGTTCGTCTCGAATGCTCTTCTCCGTTTTATCCAGGTTGTGGATATTTTGCACTACAAACTTTATTCTCCACAATAAAATACGATAAAGATTATCCAGCACCCGAAAAAACGAATTTTTTATTACTGGACTTGAGCAGTTCTCGGTTTGATGAAATTTTTTCTAGCGTTTGAGACAATTTTATTTAATGTAGGAAGTATTGATAATTGTACCGTTGTAGTAGTTAGAGGTTATGCCCTAATCATCAGTGTGTTTCGTGTCCTGATTTTACAAGTTGTTTTGTCATTTAATTGATACACAAATTAATATAAAGTAGCAATGTCTGATTTAGCTTGAAAATAAAATAGCGGCCACAGTATTGGATGCATATGATTTTATTACCTATATACTGACGGAGATTCCTCTAAGCAACCCTAAGAATCTGATTTTTATCTGCTGTTTTCTTTGTAAGTTCAAAAATCTTGCTGAACAAGTGACTTAATTATATTTATAAAACGTTCACTTCTTTGAGCTGACTGTTTTTCTGAGGGCTTTAAGTATTAATTTCATACCATTTTTCTATCTGTTCCAAGAGCATATTTGTTGCTAGGTGGTTTCCTAATGTTTTGATTAATTTAAATTTCGTCTTGCAAACGATTTCCGTTTCTGCTTAGATAGCTACTGAATTTTTTAATGTGTTATGCAACTTCGTGCTACTGGAATTGTTGAAGTTATGTCATTTGGTTTTTCTGTTAGTTTCGAAGCCGTTGAGTTGTGAGGAGCTCATAAACAGTTTGACTGTTCTCCGTATAAGGAAGTTTTTAATAGAGCAAGAGGGACTTCCCGTTGCCTGTTGTTGCAGAACCAAAAGTATACTGGGTTGCCAATTGAGGAGAGTAGTGATTTTAGTTTGTTTAGTTAATCTCGATGCGATTTGTCTACAATTTAAGAAATTAATTTTTATTTTAAATAAAGCAAGAGTTATGAAGAACTTCAACGAAATAGGACTAATTTCTTCAAGAGTCGTAAAATTTACAGAATGCGGTTATTTGTACTTTTAGAAGAAATTTTGAAAATTGTAATTTATTAAAAATATAGAAAGTTTTACTTGGGTAAAGTTCAGTCAGAGCATTTGTGTGGTGCATCATAGCATAACATCTTTATTTAGTTCATGACTTAATGTCAAAATGCGCCAAACTTTGGTGAAAAAAAGCAGGACTTGTGGATTGTTTCACTCTGGAAAAAAATGCGGCGAAACCGCTTTTACCCTTAAACGCAAGTATTTACTGTCCATACTGGAAATCATTTTATTTTTATGAACGACCAATTTAAGTTTCTGAAAATTATTAATGAGTTAGGTACTGATGTGTTATTGTAGCGTGTTGCTGATGCATTCGATATGTCTGTAAGATCGGTTTCTTAACTTGTTTCTGGAGGCATCAAAACCGTTCATGAACATAAAGTTGTTCAAGAACATGTCGCAGTAGAATCGTTATGCCAAAAATTTTCCCAAAATCGAGGGTACTGATGTTTCAAATGGTTTATTGATTCATGCATTAAAAAAGTTGAAATTTTGTTGGAAAAAATGCAGCATTTCCAGCAGGATATATGTGATGGAACCAACCATACATTGCTCATAAACGACTCACATTTTTGAGAGAAGACCTGAAATATCAGGATGAGGCCTTTTCATTCAATTCAGTATTTTTTAGCGAAAAGTAGAATTTTTCTAATCTATGAACAGAGGTAAAAGTTTTAGTTTTGTACCTACGGACACTCTCATTTGGTCAATAGTAATGGTGAGCGATGCATCGAATATTTTCACAGTTCTCGATTTGCATGAATCAGTTTTTATTACCCTTCTTTGCTCTTTGCGTTGTGGATTTTCGTTTGTGTTGTTGAAGAAGAGGGAGTTTATCAAAAATAAACCTACCTAATGGATATTTGTTTTCTCTGATATATTTGAAGCGTTTTATTTTGTCCGTCGTGTCCGTACGTCTCAATAAGTCACTAAACCAAGTTGCCATAATCTCATTATAACAAAGTCGTACGTAAGTACATGGCCTTTCTTGCGAATGACGGTTTTATGACCATGTTTCTAGTAGGTTCTATAACACGATGACTATCGTCCCCGTTGTAAAACCCATACAAAATAGAAATTAAATTTTATTGTTAGAATTGCATATCCGAACGTACCTATTGTAAACTTATGAATTAATTAAAATCGGAACGCATCTAAAAATGGTAGCAATATAGTTAAGACCTACGGATCATTTTTGATTCCGTCACAATACGTGACGTAACTGCGTAACAATTCTGACTGGAGTATATTCGTTATTAATGCTTCGATATTTGTTTTATCTTTTTTTTTTTCTATTTAAAACTTTTAATGTAATTTAACAATTTTTTGTCAGGCGAAAAGGGATATGCATCAATTTTATTCGAGGAACTGCCTGGAAAAATGGCTGAAATAAATTTTTATTTGGAAAACAAAACTTTATATTTTCAGCAGAATCTCAAGGACATGCAGTGTGATATCAAGCCAAGAGCCAAGGAGTAGCCACAACAATGCATGTTATTTATTTTTGAGGGATGAGCACACCTCTCGTTAAAATTGAAAATATTTGATTGATTTGTTCAATATCAATTATCATGTCTATCTGCGAACCACCCCATGATAAATAATTTATTTAGCTCCGATCATTTTCTTCAACTTTTGAGGATTTTTCCATGATTTAGGTGTGATGAAGTCAAATATTTTGTTTTATCTTGGTCATCTGGCTAATATTTCTTCTTGTGGCTAGTAAAAATTACAAAGAATAAAAAAATCTCCAAAGTTAGGTGAGTATTACGCACATAAGATTTAAACATACGTGTGTGCAAGACTGAAAGGACGAAGCATGAAAGATTTTTTAATGTATGTTACTCAATTTGTATTATTTAAGTGAATATATAGTGTGATGATTATAAACTGTTTTGCATGCACCTATAAACTGTAAAAAGTAAGTGGCGCAAGATGAACTTATCAATTAACTGAATTAATATTTTTGAGAAAAATTAGGTCGCATTTATACTCTATGGACTGAGGATAGAAATTTAGTTCAAGTGAAGAATGCGAAAACCCAGTCTACGATTAGGGCGGATATAATCGCAATGATTAATAGACACCAGTAAGCATCGTCATAGTCGTATTGTATTATGTACATGCTCCAAAAGAGGTAATTCAATATACCAACAGTATAAACGCGGCCTAACATTAAATCATGTTTTCCGATTCGAGTTAGGATTCTCGAAAGATCTGGTAATTCGGTATTCGTAGTTATAGTTTTTTTTTGCTTTTACCAAATAATTATTTACACATGCAGATGAAGAATATGGTCTGCAGTTCGCCAACGCTGAAGAAGATCAACAATTTAATTGGTCGATGTTCTTAAGGTATTTCATTAGTATTTTAGTACAAACTAATTATTTTGGTATTTTTGGTTTATATACAGGTAGTCCCTAAATTAGACGTCAAAGTCGCATTTTTTCCGCTCTATAATAGTGACAAAGTGGCATACCGGAGTGTGATTTTTAGGTATTAACAACTCGACCCAATAAATTACTATGTTTTTTCCGGTTCCATAAACGCTGTCCATAATTTCGTTGTCGACTTTAGTGTTAAAAATTAAGAACTATTTTTTAGTTAAAAATATTGCGGTATATATTATATTCTAGACTTATTGGAATTGTAGAAAACCATCACGGATTGCTTTTACTTCAGATATTGTGAAATATTTTTCCTAATGAACGGTGACAAGTAATCTCGTTTGAATGATTTTATTATACAAAACAAAAATTTATTTTGAAAAATGAAGTCCGTGTCACTGTTATCAAGGCGCAAAAAAAATCTTGATCCAAGAATGAATTAATTCCGCGAGTGGCACTTGGGCGATGAATTCCTTGGGAAAAGAAAATAAGGGAATGTTTTTGTTACTTTAAGACTAAATTAAACTTAATTTAATAACTAACGGGTTTGTTTACTTTACGTTTATCTTAGTCTTGTCTTAGACAAAAATTGCATTTACACAATTATTCAATTCAGGTTAAATTTAAAATACTTGGCAATTTCAATCCATTATTCATAATAATTAATTTATGTATTGAAAAAAAAAAACTTAACTTTGCAGCAAAATCGCTCCTTTTTCAACTGAGCCTCACTTCCCGTCAACTACAGATTTGAAAACTCCCCAACAGAGACTGAAAGCTATCCAACCCTTTCCACAAAGGCTAATATCTTTTTGCGATTTAGTACCCTTTTGACCAGTATTTACATAATATTCACATGGAATCACAAAAAAAAAATCAAAAATAGTTAAGTTTAGCATCGATTAACTCTTTTTTTGAGGAGTTTTCAAAGTTACCGAAAAATGTATAGATGTACAAAGTTTTGTACTTGATTTTGTTATTTGTAAAACTTAAAAATGCTGTTTAAATTTTGAACATGAATAAGCCACCGGTTCTATCATCAAAATAAATAATTGCGATCAGTTACCCGAATTTCTTTTTGACTTTTTATAATTGTTTTTAGATTTGGTTGTCAATAATCGCCATTTAATCTGTTTCCTGAATCCTGTCCTCTTTTTCCTTGAAATCAATTCTACCCTTTAAATGAAAGATCATTGTTATCTACGAACTATTGTTAGCAAAGGAAAAAAAATGATACGTGACGTTGGTCCCTTCACAGGTGTTCAAATGTACTTTCAGGTTATCGGACATGGCCGTTATGGGAGACACTGTATAAAGGATGGTCGGAATTATGATGGAGCGCATTCACCAGATAAAAATAAGTAAAAATGTTCATGTAAACTGATGTGTAAAATGACACTTTCCGCAAGCTAGGTCGGCCCATAATTGGGTATTGAAGAGAGTAAGTAGAAAATAGTATATTATGCAATAAGTGTGGTAAACGGCACTTGAGTCACAAGTATTTAATAAACGAGTGACTTAAAAAGCTTACCGAACGTGCTGCATACTATACTTTTTCTACGTCCCTTAGTTTTTGGATACATTTTCGCAAACGTTGGAGGAAGTTCATCATCAGAATCAAAATCATCTTCTCCTGCATCTTTATAACAGTTTGCAATAGTGTTTTTGCTAACTTCCTTCCAAGCGCAGTGAATACAATTTACAGCATCCAATAAGCTCACTGAAAACGTTTGTCCATCACAAATTGCTTCTATAATCTTTATGAGCACACTTTAGGGAATGGATTTTGCGTTGATCCATGGGCTGCAGTTTTGAACTGGTATTGGCCGGGAATATTATCTACTAGAAGATTTTTTTTTCTTCAATTCTGTATCCCATTGGAGCAGCTCATCGGTTAATAAGTCAGATGTCATCCACGTTTTGCTGTTTGACCTGTGCTTGACTGGTAGGGTCTTGTTAAAACATCTTGGGTTTACTGCTTTGCCGATAACAAACAGCTTTCTCTTTTCCGTCCCAGACATGTTTTGCAGTAACCAGAATTGTTATTCGAACCTTGGACAATTTACCACCTGCACATCTTTCTCCTTGGAATTCTGTCTTATTAGGGGTTAGTTTGCAGAAAAGGACGGTCTCATCGGCGTTAAAAAGATTGTGCGGTGCCATAAATTTTGCAAAGATCATGTATTTCAAAAAGTGTTCATTATACCGAGTGTTTGCAATAAACTGGTTTGCTATATACGAACTCCACTGTATTTTCTTAGCAATATTTCTACTCTCTGTATCTCCAAAATGAAGCGTTATCCATGATATCATAGGTAACCAACAACCATAATGAAGCATTTTAGGATATGTTTATACGATTTTTTTACGTTTACTTTATTTTTATTTATTGAATACGGTGTTAAAATGTCTCTATTAGATATAATTTGGACCACCATGAACATACAAGAATGAACTCGAACCAAAAACATTTATTCTGACTTCATTCATATAAGTTTATTCTTAGATTTAACATGATTTAATTCAGTATCGTATTTGTGTTCTTGTTTTGAGAATAGCATTTTATTATATATTATTAGATTTAGTGAAGAATTGCCATATATGTCAATTACTGACGCATGTGAAACGTGCACATCTCTCTATAATTAGTCGTGGGAAAAAGTCTTGCAATTTGAAAGAAAACCATATCGAACTCGTCGACATAGCTCGAAAACAAACGACAAGGCCGAGAAAAAAAAATGTCTTTTATAACTAATATGTATAATTACTTTCACATATGTTGACGATTTTGTGATGTAATTTCAAATCATTGTGTCCTACCTTTTCCTTTTCTTTTGATGACGCATGGGTTTTGAGGCGACGTCATTGTAGTCCTTATTTATAGTGTTCCTTAATCTTTCTTGCTGTATTAATACGAATTGATTACGACGTTTAATTCACATCTTCCCACATTCAACAAAAAGTCGGTAGGGACGATCGATGTGATTATGACTGCACTATGATTGGATATTGAAATGGATTAAACGGGCATGGCGGTCAACACGAATAAGCCGAATTTCTTATCATCCAGCAGAAATAATCGCCGCCCCGATACATGAAGAAGAGCTGCTATGAACTTTGGAGGCAGCTAGAAGATTTCAGCTGCAACATCCAAACATGTAGGAGGGTTTTACATTCCTAGGAGAGATTCCTTTGAGCGGTGAAATAAGCACATCTATTATTAAAATCTAATTTTTTTCTTTGTACTTGCCTTCATTTAACTTAACCGCGAGAAAAAACATGTTCTGCAGGTATTCAACGAAAACGTGTTTGGTAATTACAAACTAATATTGTTCGTTTCAAAATACTTAACTTTATAGTAGTATTTATTCTTTTTGTTTGGGATTGCCATGTGAGAACTACCGAGTAGCGAGAGCATTTTACTGATCACTGCGCACTTATCTATCTGTACCGGGTGATATAAGTGAGAAAAGTTTAACTCTAAAACGGTAGACGAAATATGAATTTTATTATACTAATATGTCGTCGAATGGTTGCACTTTTGGTTTGAACTGGAATAACTTTAATTTAGCATACTTTACGCATTATACGTTTTGGTTAGTTGATTTAAACGCTGAAATTATACCTGACTTAATTTACCAAAAATTAACATACATTGCCTATTTTGAGTAGTTTTCTCTCGTTTTTTTTTTTGTTTGTATAGTTTTCTAAAAATATCAAGTAGTATTTCCTCATTTGAGTATGATTATGCAATGTGTTTTGGGATGTTATTTTAAGTGCAAATGCAAAAATCTTAATTCACTGTCTACTACAAAACATAGAAATGTATCGTTTACCAAGATTTTTGCTTTTCTGGAACCGGGGGCAATCGACAAAGTTTGAACTATCGTCCCTGGGGGTATTAAGGCCCACAAAATTAATGCAAGAAATATTTAATTAAATAAACATCGTGCTGGTATTTTTATTTAAAACAGTTCCCTTGTAAAAAACACAGAAAAATAAAACGTTACAAAATATGAAACAGTTTTTCTTTAAAAAATTAAAAATTAAATTATTTCTGTAATGGAAAATAAGCAAATAAACTACTCATCAACTCCAGACATGTAACAGGCGCCCGATCATCTTCAGATAGCCCATACAATCGTCATGCATCCAAGAGATACAGTTTCTACATTGTCTCGTATTTGCTACTCTGTTTTCACAGCAGATAAGGCAAGACCAGTCCTCATCTTGAACGACATTTGCCGAGCTGCTACTACGTAAAGGCACAGGGAATCTTTTTTAACTTCCCTGGAGGCTTTAGACTTTAAATTTCCTGCTGGCTGACAGCTTAGGGTAGCAAAAGGTAAGTCATCGATCATATTGGAATCTTCCGAACTTTCCAAATTACGGTCTGCATCAGGATCTTCTGGACGAATGGGCTTGGTTTTCATTTCAACTTGCTTTCATTGTTTGGAAGACCAACTGGGCCCAGGAAGATGATCTGATTTGAATGCCTTTTTTAGACGTTTCTCATTTGAAATCTAAAAAAATATATTTCTTTCTGTTCATTTGTTTCCGGTTGTTTGCGACCGGTGTTATATCGGGATAGAAACTGTTTTCTTTCGAAGGAGTAACCTGAGTTAAAACAGCAATAGGAACATTATTATCTGAGTTAAAAACGTCAGGTTCATGTTGAATTCCTTTTTGCTGTGTGGGAAGACTTGGCCCATATGCATGGTCAGGAATTACACTTTTATCAAATGGGTAAATCCCTGTCGCTCTCAATTCATTTGTAATATTATCGATGTTAAGACATCTCCCCCAAACAGGCGTAAAAACTTCAGAACATCTTTTTTTGTTCATTTTCCTATCTGGGAATGTGTCGCAATAGCGCAACAACTCTTCATCCGAAAAATGTCCGAAAGAACAGATCACGCTTTTGTCGAGGTGTTGATGTTCATCTGTGGTATTTGAAGGAAGGCATAATTAGTGAATTTCCAGTTGGTCGATAAAATCAACAATTGAAACGTTGAGATGTGGCGCAGCACTGTCAAATATTAAGAGAACTGGCGGCTGAATTAACTTGAAAAAATTACTAAAATAATTAATAAACAAGGTAGTGGTCATGCTACCTTTTTGGGAGACATTTTCACTTGGTAATTCGTAATTCGTCACTAAAATTTGATTTCAGCGTCTGCCCTTTAAACAATATCATGGGTTGCGTTTGAGCAGATAACAATCTTACAATTTTCAGCATGTTCTGGAGCAACCGGATGGATTCGCTTGTTCCCTGTTTTGCCAATGACTATCTGTTGATAATGCAGGGTTAGTCTGCATCCATGTTATCGGTTGATGTTTGAAGCTATGGTTTTCGAAAACATTCTCAGGTTTTTCAAAATAGTCCTTAACAATGAAGGGATTAAGCTTTGCCGCCCTTGCAGGATTCATTGACTGGGGCCTTCTGTTGAGACAAGGAAGGATATCGCTTCATAACTGCTTTCACTTAAAGCATTGTTTTTTCCCATTGTCGAAACGGCTTGGTTTTCAACATACTTGAATATGCTTCGCCGTAGCGCCTTTGGTGTCAAGGGCAATCCTATGTCAGAATATTTAATGATTTTCCGAACTAAATCAGTTCACATCAGGTCACATTGCTATGTTAAATAAGGAAATAAGATTTACTGGCCTAGTAATTGCATTAATGTGTAAACTAAAACTTGATTTTGCTATCATTATTATCTGACTTGTTTTTTGAAAAAACGCTAATGTTCAACCATAAATTTTTATAGATTCGACCGGACACATGGCAAAACTTTGAATACTATCAGTCGAAAACTGTCAACCTTAATTTGGGTAACAGATCAACACATAGATGGGGATATAATACTTAGAAATTCTTTTTTATTGTTAATTGGGTGTACGGGTCTTATTACCTGCGCGGGTCTTATTACCCACAGGGACCTTAGAAATAATCGTTTGGCAAAAAAGTAAAAACTTCTATCCGTGATTTTTGGCTGACTCTCGTGACTTTACTATATAATAATTATTGTTATTATTAACTTTTATTTAAGTAAAGAATCGTTTAGTTTTAATATTCCAACTCGGAATTTAATGTCATATATCCTTACATTCTCATAACATGATATGAATATTTTCCAATAGAAATTTGATCACTATTAATTGGCTTTTTTTTTAGTTAGAAGTTATCTCTTTTGTTTCAGTTATTTTTTTAAAGGTTGAATTTATGATTAATTGGAAATTAAAGGTCAAATAAAAACTGCATTTCATCACCGCAACTCGTTCTCTTCTACGCAACGTTCAGTATTAATATTTTAAAGGGTAGGTAGGTATGAGAGTTATGTCGATTGAACGGAGACACTCTAAGGATTTTTACTGAGAGATTCTCCTATATCGGTTGAATCGATAATTGAAACCGTCGTACACGCCTATCCTGTAACGATTAATTGATTTGGAATACTCTATTTCTCTCATGTGCTATCCTTGAAACCTACACGCTAAGTTTCGGTAAGGTATATATAGAACTCATAAGAGTACCAGCCCAACTTGTTAGCTTGTTAAATAAATAGAGTACACATTAAAAAGTGATCAACGTTAACTGAACACGAAATGCCCAGAATCACGAAAACATTTCTAAAGAAACCTGATATATCGAAACAAATTGTTGTAATGATTTATACAATAATTGTAACTTATCCATTCAGCGGTGATTTCTGCTGAAAATAATTTGTATATACTTAACCAGTACTGCGCAGATCATATGAGATATGAGAATTAAACTGTAGGCGAAAACAACTCTTTATGGAGCACCATTAAAATTATTGGAACTTGAGTCTAGCGTTTTAGATTTAATCCCCCGAATAAATGAACAAATTGAAGGTTAAAGAGAAGAAACTTCTCGGCGGAGTTCCCACTGGTTCGGAAAATTTGAAAAATAAATTTAAGGTTGGCCTGGAATATCTGTAGGTTGAGTAAACACTATGAAATACTCGGCGTGGGTTCTCACCATCCTGAAAAAGTCAAGACATTCCTAAAACGTCTGCGAGTTATCTAATTCAGTGTTTTAATGATTTCGAAGAAACGTTACAAATTACTAAGTTGGATGTATAGAATAAAAGTACTTTTTAAACTACCACAAATAAGGTTTTCATTTCGTCATAGTGAATAGTTTGAGAATAAGAGTTCGGCAGAATCAAATATATATTTGTTTAGTTAATTAATTTCATAAAAATAATTTTTAAATAAATAAAACATCCGTGTAATTTGTCTCAACACACTTAAATTTTTCAAAACTTACAAACAAAAATGTATTCTTCGCGTGAGATTTGATGACAGTTATTCATTGAACATTGGCATTATTTATTTTAACCTGAATTTTTCCAACACTGATGAATTTGTGGAAATAATAATAATTGTAAGAATTGAAGTTGGCAATATTTAAATTTGCTATAATGTATTTTTTCTAATTTCGCAGGGTTTGTCTTTAAGAGGACGATCTTGTATCCTTGGTTGGTCTCCGACTGTCACTGTTTCCAGTTAATAGGTAAGAAGTCATAAAAATCGACTCATTGATTAAGGACCAATATTATCTCAAACCTGCAGTTTCAGGTAGATCTGGTTACTGCTAATCACAACATGCGCTATTTTTAGCAATACGGATATTTGGGTGGAAGTATGACAACAAAGTGGTAAACAAATTCTCAGGGAGTAAGTTGATTCGACATCAAATCGCACAAAACCCTAAAAGAAAATATCTGCTCATTAATGTACATTGGATGCCCGATGGACTGTGAGTTGGATACACTTTCAGACGTCTTTTGTACTGAGCTATATCGGGGTATGTTGTATGGATCACTTTTCGACGTATAATGGACATTATGGGCGGCCAATGATTTTTTATTGAATTATTAATAGATATTGATTATTGAATTTTTAATAGATAGTCCTAAAATTATCCCTTCCAGTAAACTCGATGAACATATATTATTGGCCACTAGATATTCTATGTATGTATTACTGAAAGTTATTTATACAAAATAACCATTAAAATGGTCTAAATTTACTAAATATGGAACAAAGGCATTCATTTTGTACTCTTATGTTTTAACTGCATACATTGTCGGTTCCTTTGGCTCTTTTAAACAGTAAATGTTCTATCATATATATATATATACAGGGTTTTTCACTTAAAACTCCGCACGCCAATAAGTCCAAAACGAAAAGAAATATTTAATTTATGTAAAAAGTAGTCAAAGTGTGGGGTCAAGTAGATATTTCCTAAAGTTTAAAAAATTCGACGCCTGCAAAGAGCTGGGCGTCGCGACGCGTCGAAAAATTATTCGATTGCAGAGACTTTGGAAATACGCGCATACAAAAGTACATATTATTTAAAAACTTTTTTGTATTATTTACTCAAACTTATTTACTTTACCCGTTTCTAAGTTATACCGATTCAAAGTAAATATTTCTTGATTAATAAAAAATGTGATTAACGCTTATTTTTACAAGTATGCCATCAATGTTAGTTACTATGGCAACCATTGTTATCGCAGTTGTTTTAAGTGCAATTACAAACGTAAGTTGTTATTGCTGTATCAAAAAATTGTCACATTTTGTCACAAGAAATATCCAAATTTGTTCGGTTAAAAAAAAACTAAGAATTATTATGTGAAAATGGTGCAATTTAGCAATGAGGAAAAAGTAGACATGTTACTGGTGTTTGGAGAATGCAGATGCAATTGTAGAGAAGCAAGCAAAAAGAGTTTACGCACGGCGTTATCCGCATAGAAGAGTCCCCGATGCAAAAACCTTTTCAAGTTTATGTAAAACTTAAGAGAATATGGCAGCTTCATAAAACCTAAAAGAGATAGGAACAGGACGGCTACAAATGATGAAAATACTGCTGCTGTAATTCAGCAGGTGGATAATAACCCCAAGATATCCCTATCAGAGATAAAAGAAAATACCGGTGTTACCATAAGTTCTTCGTGGAGAATTCTACATAGAAACTCTTTTCACCCGTACAAAAGTAAACTAGTTCATAAACTAGAACCAGGCTATTATGCTAGAAGAATGTATTTCTTAGCGACATTGTCCGATTTGTATAGCCAAGATGCAAATTTTCTCTCGAAAATTTTATTTAGCGACGAAAGTCGATTTCAAAATAATGGAATCGTTAATAGACACAACTGTCGTTTTTGGTCCGAAAACCATCCTCGTTGGATTACAGAAAGAGGTAACCAACGAATTTTTAGTATCAATGTTTGGTGCGGCATATTAAATGGATTCCTTATTGGACCTTACTTTTACGAAGGAACTTTAAATGCAGATCGCTATTTAAGATTTCTTCAAACTACACTTCCGGAACTATTAGAAGAAGTGCCTCTTGACATTAGAATGAATATGTGGCTACAGCAGGATGCTACACATAATGCCCAAATAGTAACGAGGTATTTGAACCGAGAATATCCCAATAGATGGTTTGGTACTAATGGACCGGTAAGGTGGCCGGCGAGGTCCCCGGACATTACACCACCAGATTATTTTCTTTGGGGCTACCTAAAAAACGTTATCTATGAAGAACCTATCGAAGATATGGCTGATCTCATTAACAAAATTAGTGCAGCGTGTGCCGCTATCACAAGAAGGACTCTCCTACAAGTGACCCAAGCTCATCTGTTAAAAGTTTTTGATAGTTGTGTTCGAGCAGATGGACATAATTTTGAACAAAATTTTTGAAATGTCTTATTATGTAGTTAATTGCAATAATAATTTTGGTTATTAACTTGTAGGTATTTTACTGTTTTTTCATTTATTTATCATGTTATCAGAACTAAATCGATAAAAAATAATAAATAAAATCATACTAAAATAGTTGAAATCTATTGTTTGTAATTGCATTTAAGACAACTGCGATAACAATGGTTGCCATAGTAACTAACATTCATGGCATACTTGTAAAAATAAGCGTTAATCACATTTTTTATTAATCAAGAAATGTTTACTTTAAATCGGTATAACTTAGAAACGGGTAAAGTAAATAAGTTTGAGTAAATAACAAAAAAGTTTTTAAATAATATGTACTTTTGTATGCGCGTATTTCCAAAGTCTCTGCAATCGAATAATTTTTCGACGCGTCGCGACGCCCAGCTCTTTGCAGGCGTCGAATTTTTTAAACTTTAGGAAATATCTACTTGACCCCAAACTTTGACTACTTTTTACATAAATTAAATATTTCTTTTCGTTTTGGACTTATTGGCGTGCGGAGTTTTAAGTGAAAAACCCTATATATATATATATATATATATATATATATATATATATATATATATATATATATATATATATATATATATATATATATATATATATATATATATATATATATATATATATATATATATATATATATATATATATATATATATATATATATATATATATATATATATATATATATATATATATATATATATATATATATATATATATATATATATATATATATATATATATATATATATATATATATATATATGCAACTATGTCACTAGAAACTAAACAGCTGCTCCCATCAAAATGCAAGATTTAATTTTTAAACAGTTATATCTAACCTCCATACATTTAAATCACTGGCCAAGCGCATTTAACTCTTAAGCAGTTTAATAAGTTTTTCAGTTTTTATGTAGATAACAGTACTCACACACGCGCGCGCGCACACACCCACACCCACGCACACGCACACACCCACCCACGCGCGCGCACACACACACGCAAACGCACACACCCACACGCAAACGCACACATACACACGCGCGCACACACACACACACACACACGCGCGCACAGACACCCACACCCACGCACGCGCACAGACACACACACACACGCACGCGCACAGACACACACACACACACACACACGCGCGCGCACGCAAACACACACGCACGGAAACACACACACACACACGCACGGAAACACACACACACACACACACGCACGGAAACACACACACACACACACACGCACGGAAACACACACACACACACACACACGCACGGAAACACACACACACGCACGGAAACACACACACACACACACACACGCACGGAAACACACACACACACGCACGGAAACACACACACACACACACACACGCACGGAAACACACACACACACACACACACACACACACACACACACACGCACGGAAACACACACACACACGCACGGAAACACACACACACACACACACGCACGGAAACACACACACACACACACACACGCGCACGGAAACACACACACACACACACACACGCACGGAAACACACACACACACACACACGCACGGAAACACACACACACACACACGCACGGAAACACACACACACGCACACACGCACGGAAACACACACACACACGCACGCACGGAAACACACACGCACGGAAACACACACACACACACACACGGAAACACACACACACACGCGCACGGAAACACACACACACACACACGCACGGAAACACACACTCACACACACACGCACGGAAACACACACACACACACACACACGCACGGAAACACACACACACACACGCACGGAAACACACACACACACACACACACGCTCGGAAACACACACACACATACATACATACACACACATACACACACACCCGCAAAAACCACATGCCAACGACGTTCCACGGGCAATCAGTCATCGTAAGGTGGATCGTCGAAAACCAAGAACAAAGGCCATTCTTGTGCAACCAACCGAGGGTCGAACGTACGCTGATCTTCTTAAGGAGATCAAAGCCAAGGTCAACCCGACAGAAACTGAAGTGGACATAAAGTCCATAAAACAAACGAGGCGCGGGGGCGTTCTGCTAGAAATGACCCGCAAAACTGAAGACAGCACCGCATTCACGGCCGCTATTAAGACAGCAGCCGACAATATCGGTACCGTCAGAACGCTGATACCTACAGCTACGATAGAGATTCTAGACCTGGACGGAGTCTCCACTGAATCTTACGTCCGTGATGCACTTGGGCGAGACTTCACGGCAAACCTTGAAATCAAGCGAGTCAACCTAACTAAAGTTACCCAACGAGGTCAAAGAGCGGCTTTTTGCGAGATTGACGAGACCAATGCGGTCAAGGCCCTCAATAAGGCTCGCATAAAGGTTGGGTGGGTTAGCTACCGCGTACGGCCGGTAGCGAAAGTGGTACGCTGTGCCAGATGTCTCGGGTATGGGCACGCGATGCACTCCTGCAAGGGGCCAGGCCGCAGCAAGTGCTGCTTTAAATGCGCAGGAGAAAGTCGCAAGGCAGCCGACTGCATCGAGCAACCGAAGTGCTTTCTATGTCCGAATGACGTTAAGGACAGCCTGTGGCGTATTCCTGGCTCCGGAGCTTGTAAAGCGTTCCGCGCAGCCCTAGCTGAAGCGATAAGGGCACAAAAATGATCAGAGTCCTTCAAGGTAATCTGAATAGGTGCATACTAGCACAACACTTCCTTCGCCAAAGGATTTTAGAAGGTAAAGTCGACATCTGCATCAATTCCGAAGAACATTCAAACTTCCACTACGGGTTATTGTTCGCAAATGAAACTGGGACAGTAGCACTATGGATCGCAAATACAAAGAACGTTACCGCAATCAACAGCGGAAGTGGAGCAGGCTTTGTCTGGATTCAAACCCCTACAGCCTACTTCATGAGCGTCTACCTCTCGCCTAACGAGGGAATCAGTGTGTTCCGTCAGAAACTGGCGACCATAGAGGACGCTATCGTCAAGTTCAACGGCGGAGTCATTGTAGCTGGTGATTTCAACGCCAAATCGGCAGAATGGGGCGCAGCGTTCTCTGATACCAAAGGCAATGAAGTCGCTGATGCCGCAGCAAGACTCGACCTCATTGTACTGAATACTGAAAATACCACGACATTCCGGAGATCAGGGTACCAAGAATCCATCCTTGACATTACGTTAGCGACCCCAGGGATTGCGAACACGATTGAGAGCTGGACCGTATCCGAAGAATACAGCGGTAGTGACCATCAGTATGTGACCTTCAGTGTTGGACTTGTACCTGGCTCGGCTCCGCAGTGCACCCTATACAAAAGAAAGTGGAACGCTAGCAAGCTTGACCTCGATGCTCTACGAACATACGGAGCATACCAACTCTCCAGAGAAACCCCAATCCAAGCACCCGCAAGGAGACGGAAGAAATAGTGACAAGAACCATGAACGTTATTCTCGACTCATGTAACGCTTCTATGCCACCACTGAAAGTTCGGGGTGCACACAGACCGGCATACTGGTGGTCACTGGAGATAGCAGAATTACGAAGAACATGCCATGTGCTACGTCGCCGCGCAACGAGGGCTGCAAAACGTTCACCCGATCAGGAACTGTATGTGATCGAGTCCAAGCACGCAAAAAAAACCTTTGAATAAAACCATCAAAACACAGAAAGCGACGCTATGGAAAGACTTATGTAATGACCTCAACAATGATATCTGGGGTAAAGCCTACCAAATTGTCACTAAACGACTTGGAAAAGCTGCACCAGAAGCGCCAAAACCCCCTCCGTGATGTATAGCATCGTGGCGGAGCTGTTTCCCAAACACGCGCCGCGGACGAAGAAACACTATGTTAAAAGTGGCGAAACGACTCCCTTTACTACCAAGGAACTGCAAGACGCGGCAAAGACCATCAAGATAGGAAAAGCACCCGGCCCAGATGGCATTCCAGCCTTGGTGATCAAGACTGTAGCACTGGAATACCCGGACATACTCCTGGGCACCTACAATGCATGTCTTGCAACTGGCACGTTTCCCACGGTCCTGTTGGACAAAGGAAAGGGAACCTCAACACCTTCTTCGTTTAGAGCACTCTGCATGCTTGACATCGCTGGGAAACTGCTCGAAAAGCTCATTCAAGGCAGGCTTCGAAACGACATTGACCGTGCTGGAGGTTTTGCTACCAACGAATACAGGTTTCGGAAAGGTAGATCGACGATCAACGCGATTCAGATGGTGATAGAGACTGCAAGAAGAACATGGTCTGGTAGTCTCAAAACTCACAAAGTATGTTTACTTCTAACATTTGACGTTAAAAACGCCTTTAACAGCGCGAATTGGGGAGATATTCTGGACGCCCTAGAACATAAATTTGATATAGAGCCAGACAATCTGGAAATGGTTGACGATTACCTCGACGAAAGGACGCTAGTTGTAGAATCGACGGAAGGTCCGCAGGAGCATGAAATAACGGCCGGCGTGCCTCAGGGCTCAATCATGGGGTCCGATCTAAGGAACGCAGACTATGACGAGCTCCTGAGGATCCCGCTGACTGACACCATCGAAGCCTGGCTTGAAAAACATCACCTGACACTTGCCAAGCAGAAAACAGAGATGGTTGTACTGACTCGACAAAAATGGTTCCCTAAACCATTCACCGTAAACATGGGAGGTACAACTTTGACGTCAACGAGAGCTTTACGCTACCTAGGGGTAATGATAGACGAAAAACTATCTTACCGTGAACACCTTGATAGTGCATGCCAGAGAGCTAGCAAGACGGTATCCAGCTTATCAAAGATCATGGCCAACACGATGGGACCTCAAACCAAAAAAAGACGAGTCCTCCTCGAAGTAGTTCACTCAGCACTGCTCTACGGAGCAGAGATATGGGCGGACATCATAAAGCAGAAAACATACAGGCGCCAAATAGCAGCAGTGCAACGGAGAGGGTTGCCTGTGCATACCGCACCGTCTCGGAAGCGGCAACACTGGTCATTGCGGGAGCAACGCTTATCGATCTATTAGCGTTTGAGAGAGCCAAGCTCTATGACGCTAAAAGGAAATGCGACAACTTCAAGGAGGCAAAAACAAGGATAAAAGCGGAAACCCAGCAAGAGTGGCAGGACCGATGGACGACGGGGGAGACGGGCAGATGGACGGAGCGTCTGATTCCGAACATCAATGTTTGGCTTTCTCGGAAACACGGGGACACAGACTTCTATCTGACCCAGCTACTGACGGGACATGGACAGTTCAACGCTTATTTTTTAAGATGGGCTTACACAACACCCTTATGTGTAAGTACTGTCCTGATAAAATTGACGACGCCGAACATACGTTCTTTGAGTGTGCTCGGTGGAAGGACTATAGAAGTAGCACCGAAGAGATCATAGGCGCCAGGCTCTCCCCCTCAAGTCTGGTGACGTCTATGATCGAACAGGAGGCAAACTGGTCGGCTGTTGCAACCTACGCACACACACACCGCGCACGCACGCGTGCGCGCACGCACAGAGAGACACACACTGACACGCACGCACGCAGAGAGAAACACACGCACGCACGCGCAGAGAGACACACACACACACACACACACGCACCCGCGCGCGCGCACGCACGCACGCACAGAGAGACGCGCGCGCGCACAATAATAATAATAATGAGTTTGTTAAATGTTTAGTATAGGTAATTCTGTATAACGAAGAGTTATTATTTTACAGTACTTGCGAATTACTGTCTGATGTTAAGAACACCAGCGAGGAAAAAAGAGACAATGAAATCACCGAATGAAAGGGATACCGAAAACTAAAGCTCTTGTAGAAATTTACGAAAAAAATGTGTTTCGAAAATGTGTGTTTTTACTTACCCAACTTACCCTTACAAGTTTTACGAAACAAAATGTAATTGCCTACTAAAAAATTGTTTTATAATTTTAAAGCTATTGAGGACGAAGCAAAATGTCAAATGTCAAAAGCAAATATGTATTGGTCCAGCCGCACGAAAAAGTGCACATTGAGATACAGGATCCAGTTTAAGAAAATGTTACTTTGTTAAGATTGGCATTTTCTGAAGTGCGCCACCGGATTCGTCGTAAAATATTATTTAGTTTTTTTTTTCATGTCAATAAAGTAACTAGTAATAGAAATAATAAAACCGGCAAATGTTTAGAAGTACCCGCCCTGTATCTTCTAATCTAGTTATCATAGATCTTATTGCGCTACTAAAAAAAAGGGGACCTTTCCATTTTTTTGTATCTCCCACCATTAGTCTATTTCCTATAATATTAACTGAAAATAAAATGTCTATATATAACTCAGTTGACATTTTAGTTGGTAAAGCCAGTTACTAGGTTTTAGGCAAACTCGACTAAGCAGATAGTGAGTTTTCTGCGTTTCACTTAAATTGGTTCGTTGTGAAGTTAATCTACCACACTTATAATCTGATTATTTTGGCATTTTGAATCGACGAAGCTGAAGTGAGACTTTCGGTATGCTGAACTGGATAATATGCTATGTTTTAGAAAATTTTTGACAGGCGTATTTACTTCATTTTATATGATATAATCGAGAACACGTCGGTAAAACTTTTATAATGTATCCATTCCAAATATCGCTTAAAGAGGTAGGTATTTTCTCGGTCTACACTTATAGCATTATTTATTCAATAATAAAAACAAACTATGAAATAAGAGCGCTAAATACATACGCACTCTCGATAATATAGACACTTATGAAGCACCAGGAAAAAAAAAACGCACTCGCGATATTTAAAATCTAGTTTGTAACCGGTAACTTTGCATTGCATTCAACAACCAACATGGCCGCTAACACATCGTCAATAGCTTTGGATGTTGCATTTTTACGACAGTATTTTCTCAAAATTCCCTTCGATATCCTTAAATTTTGTTCACATTGGCTCATGCTTAACTTAATTACGTAGCTCTGGGAACAGACAGGATTTTTGGTTAGTTTAAATGTGCCTAACGAATAAAATTAAACGATCTTTGGTTACGTTATTTAAAGATATAAAATTTAATTAAATCCTAGTTAAAACGAGACCCTGATGCGCAAAAATACATTTAAGACTACTGTTAAGGTGCCAGTAAATTTAAACTGAATTTTAATATTTCTTGGAACGCTCCATCTTTGTCGTAAAGGGCGAATCATTGAGTAAAGTAAAAACTGAGACGAGTCTCAAAAGACCGCCATCTGAGAGCAGTGCAATAAGCTTATGAGCATGTCCAGATAGACTGCAGTAAAATAAATTTTGTCTAGATCAAAATCTCAAGCCATGCTATCAGTTTTCGTAACTGAATTGGTAAACAAAATCACGACCAAGCATTAAACTAGAGATGTTGTTTGGTACGTCTGTGAAAAGACTAAGTAATAAAACTCCGACTTGTTTAATAATTTGTATAGAACTTCTGAAGGTATCTTTTTTTGAAAAAACTGAAGTTGCGTTTCCGAAATAACAGGTAGTTGCACTGGGGAGTCCCCTTCTTTTGCAATTTTTTTTATTTATGAGTTTTTTTTTCAACAGAGTGTCCAAATCTTTTAAACTAAATACTAAAATAAATTATTTTTCGGGGCTTGAATTTATGACGTAAGCAATGTTGGCAAAAATTGATCTTATATTGTTAGTAGAGCAATTAATAATCCTTTTTTTAAATTGCATTCAAGAATTAATTATCCCCTATCCAATTCATTGGGTTTAATTAACTATACATTCCACTATATATGACATGCTGTACCCGAAATATAAACATACAAATAAAATTGGATCTCCTTAAAAAAAATATTCTAAATAGGTCAAACACTCAATAAGTATGATGTCCATAATACTTCAGAAATTATATTCTGATTTGAAATTTTCTTAGTTGAGATTTTTCAAAATTAAAAGGTTTATTGTAAAAATAAAACTATAACAATTATACTAAACATATACTTTTATTCTATATAAGTACTAATTATATTAGTAAAATTCTTATCAATATAGTTAGGTTATCACTTATCACAAAGTGGGTTGGTAGTCTTTCGGACCATCACTACACTAAAAAAAAACGGATTATATCCTCCCCTTGAAACACATTTTAGATTTATCACAACAAAGACAGTTTTCATAGGCTGTATGAAAATACCTTCGGAAAATACGATAATGTAAACAAAACAATATATACTGCACAGCAGTCATTACAAATAAGATGATCATGCCATAAACTTTGAGTAAGAACTCTTATTGGCAAAAATATCACAAACGTTACAAAAATAATAAAGTAATGCTGCTAATAGGGTTAATAAATAAATCTAAAATATAACATTTTATTGCTTTTCTAATGTTACTGTGTACTCTGCCCGATACCCGAGGAAATTTGTTGGATATGGCAAAAAGTTCTGAATAAGCAGAAGTTCTATACTTACATACTTTATTGCGGATCTAGCAGAATTGACTAGCACTCTTGCTGATTTTAAAAATTCTTCCCTGCAGTTTGTCACTTTCCAACAAATTTCCTTTAACCTGAATATAATCATAAAATGTACCATTTTCTTGTATGTATTTAATCTCAATAGAGTTAAAAGTTTTACCGGTTTTCCGAAAATAACTGCTACCATATATATTCACAGATTGTAAATCTCCTTCTCTTTGCTTTCTGAAAATCTTTAAAAAATTCCAAATTCATTTTTCTGTCAAAAAGTGAATGCAACAAAATTTTGTATACAGTCTCCTTCAATGATTTTTTTAATTCCGAAAAATTGAATATTCTATAGTACTTATTATTGTTATGTTAATTGTGTTAAACTGGAATTAAAACTAAATAAATAAAATAAATAATAAGACTGTATACTTTTACAAAAATAACAGTTTCAAAATGTAGTCGTTTCCGCCAGCAATTTTAGGGTTAGTTAGCTGTCCTAAGGACAAACTAGATATAGTTTTTTTTATTTTACAAGTTGTTTAAGCATATGCAGTGGCTCCATTAATTTTCTTCCTAGGGCTTTTCTGTGTTATTGATTGATGTTAATATGGTCTGGGTCTTTTGCCCCACAATTGAATAATAAAAGAATAAGATAAAAAGATTCAATTTTCAAAATTTTACAAATATTTTCTCAATTATTAAGAACAACATTTATGTATTTTTTTATTGGTGTTAATATTTCTTTGAGTAATCATACAAAAATTGGAACACTACAGTTAGTAAACACTGAAAGGCATCCCTAAAGGGATTACTAAAAATATGATAACCTAAAAAGTATACTGGTGGAGACGCTTTTAGCTGTAAATCAAATACAAGGTATAATTACTTTGTTTCGCTAAGCGTTCTTCTCTTGCAATCTATTATGATCTCATCCCCCGATCTAATATTGTAACTATAAAGTTGTTTGTGTGGATATTTCATTTCTTCTGGACCCTGATGGACAATAGAAAATTAGGCAACAAATGAACGGAAATAAGTTTCAAATTTGAGTACCTGGATGTCCCTGAACTCTTGGTCTACATAAAATAACCTCATTTTGGCAGCAGAGAATCCGGCAAAGCTTTCTAATTTTGATTTTAAGTCGCTAACCGTTCGATAAACGTCGACGGATCTAACCTCACTGTTGGTCCCACAAGTAAAAGTAACTTTTACTCTCTTCTCTGGTCTGAGATCGACGTTAACTAGGGGGTCTAGTTTACCATGAATTTGGACTAGTTCAAAGTACCTATAAGAATGAATTAATTCATGATATGGGTTCACGAACAAATTTGGTGAGTGAAATAGATTAAATTTTTATTTATTTTATTTATTCACGTACAACGTGTTCTAATTTTCGTCAAAATATGCGATTGAGTGCAGAATTAGAACTACAAAGATAAGGTGAATCCTCATAAGAAAATCATCAATCATTGCAGTAATTGGGTAAAACTAGTATTACAAATATTATGAAGAACAGTGTATCATTTTTAAAATCAGTATGAATTATATTAGTAAATTTAGCAGACCCCTAGGTAAAACGATTTTTTTTAAGAGTTCCGATTCATTACCTATCTGGGCGATCACTTTCTGGCTTATCCATGTAATACCGAATAAAAGCTCTTTCGGCATCCTCTCGTTCGTCTGCCGAAATGGCTCCGCCCCCGTTGAGAGTTTTAACATTGGGAAGCCTCGCGATCAAAAGCTGCCGTCTTTCGTGTTCTGTGTATTCGTTGCTTTCCCATAAAGGACAGCCCTGCGGGGATGTGCCAGTAAATTTTGACCGTATATTTCAATAGCATCCATTAAATTTGATTAATTGATTATATACAATAAAAATTCAAAGCGGAAAAAAAAACGTTTCATAAAAACATTTTTAAAATAACTAAATGAATATTTATGTGTAGATGACCATATGTGCAAATTTAAAGTGAATATAAAAGACATGAAGAGGCGTAAGACATCTTAGTGCTACTGAAAGGGCAAAAGAAAGGAAGTGTGAAACTGAATTTTATCAAAAAGGACACACAGTACAGTATTTACTACAGTTAGCTATAAATACAATTATGCACATAACTAGGTATATGGATATAGAGCACTGAGGTGATAACGCAAGCACCTTTTGTAACAAAAAAAAATTGAAAAAATAAAGGGAAATGATAATTTCTCGGCATTAGGTCCAGTTAAATAGGTGGGAGAGTTGTTTTAAAAAAATGTTGTGAAGTGCTGGGGAGTGTGTGAAGTTTATGGGCATGCGTGAAAGACTATCCTGACCTGTTTTTTTTTAAGAAACAAACTTTTGCATATTATTATCCCTCATTATGAATACATCTTGGAATTCATCAATGTAAAATTCTGGACATTTTAAATTAACAGTTTTGGGTATACATCCAAAATCACTTTGAGTGTCTCACTCGAAATAGAAATAGAAAAGACTTTTTCAAATAACTGTTAGCAAGTAATATGATTCAGATACTTGAAATGGTGACTGCTATCAAATTTAAAAGATATAATGTAACATCAAACATTGGTAACAAACCAAACTCCCTGTATATCCAAAAAAGTTTGTTCTAATTCTCTGCTTTTAAAAATTGCAGTTCTGGATGGAAAATTTCAACTTCTTGCTCAAAAATTACATACAAAACGACCTTCCAAATAATAACTCATCCAGTTATGTAATATAAATAATACATATTTTGGTGTTCCTGATTTATTTGTCATAAAAATTTGATAAACTAGTCGTTGTATTTTCTGACCAATACATTTTTTTAAAACCTTGGAAAGGAGTTAATATTTTTAATTCCTAAGTAATATCATTTTGTATACGATTCTTTTCGGAAGATTTTAAGAAGATCAATTTTATTTGTTACAAATATTAACAGAGAAACTTTGTTTGACCATCAAATTATAATATGTAAATGATTTTACAGAGAATTATCAGACAAAGACAGTGATACTCATTACTAGCCGTCTTTTTCTATTGTGAAAATTTGCGTTGCTTTTTATTACGCAGGGGCCATTTCAGTTAAGATCGAGGCCATTGGTAGCTGGTTGGGTTTCCCCTTTAAAAGTTACATAGAAAACGTCTTTTTAAATGTAAAAATAATTAGTTATGGAGTGAGGGTAGAACGAAACGCTTCAAAGGAGTTGGTTGCTTTCCTCAAAGGGACCAAATCCTTATATTTGACGTCATATCTTCTGCTAATTTTCAGCAGTGTTAATTTCAATGCGTTGATTCGACTTCCTTGGAAACAGCTTTTATTTGAAGTAAGATACTAACGCGTACTAAGCAAAGATGCAACTCTCACCTGGATTCTCACGCAGTGCAAATTGGGAAACTTTGAAAGTTTGCCGATATCGTCCCACGAAGACAACATTGTCGAGTTAAGATTAAGCACTTTGAGCGTTTTAAACGCGTCGTGAGGCGCCTCAATGTCGTCCCATTTCCCCGAACCGCTCCCCTTTGTGTCGTAATTTTTATTACCTCCAGAGTTCTCTTCTTGGGTTTCCGCTACCTCGATAGACTTTATCGGACATTCGGCCAACACCAAAGATTCGAGTTTTGGAAACGCGTATCCTAATTTGCTTATTTCTTTCCAGTCGTCTACGGGATTACCGGTAAAATGCAAAATGCGTAAAACCGAATGTTTGTGCTTCACTTTGTAATTTTGGCAGTCGCAGTTTTGGTTATCATTTTGTGAACACTCGCAGTCTTTAGGTTTGTGTAAATCTACGTTGTTGTAATCGTTTAAGCTGAGGTGCAACTCTTCAAGGCAAGGAAGGTGGTCTAGGATTTCTTGAACGCTATCCCAATTGACGAAAGTCGAGTTCAAAACTAAACTCTTTAGCTCCTTCCATTTGGTACTTTTGTCCAGGTTGACTTCGAGGGGTTTTGACAATACGTTGAAACTTAAGTTGACGAATTTTAGGCGGGGCATTTGTTGCAAAATTCCAAAAACCTAGAAGTGGCAATGGTGAAGCGCTGAAATTATATGCAAAGACGAAAAGGTTCAACTCACTTCATCCCAATGGTTCAGTTTATTTTTGGCAAGGTCCAATTCCTCGACGTTGGAACATTTGGCAACCAACGCTTCTTTTTCGCCGGCTGTGGCAATGTCGCAATCATTCAATACCAGTAACGCCGGCACCAAGGCTCTAGGTGATTTGCATGGTACAAATATAGCAACCGAAATACCAGCTTCCTCATCGGAACCTTCCGAATCAGTGGAACCCTCGCCGTATTTTTGTTCCAAAGCTTCTAATAGGGAAGGCATTATGAACAAGGCTAAAACAAAACAGAATATTATACCTTACAATAAAGAGAATATAGAAAATTATTTGTTTCATTACAAATATGTCGCCGCCCTTAGTTTTAAATGGTCGATACTCTCACATATTTTGTTTTGGATGTTATAGATTGTTTATTTTTGACTCGAATTATTTATCGGTCTAGACTAAACAGTTATAATTCTGTCATTCGTAATATTCGCACTGGGCAGCGGGGAACACAGGATACACTTTGAGAGCTGTAAGTTACTAGCATCGGTCAACGACTATCACAACAGACTAGTCAGGGAAGCCATTGAGATACAAAAACACCCGCACAATTTCAACCGAAAGGAGGAAGCCCTTAGACTCAACCAAATCTGGAACCCGATCCTTAGGAACGCCCGAGCAGTACCGATCGATATCCTGAGACCAACCGAAGCGGAACAAGCCCCGCCCACCACCAATCGCCATAAATACAACCTGCGCAGGAGAAATCGTCAGTCTACGTCCAACATCGGAGATGGAAGGACCTCTGAAGAAGCTCGCCACTCGTGCTTGCGAACCGTTAGGAAGTAATTCCAATCGACGACGGCCTTTAAACCCGAATCAAGATAATAGCTTATTACAAACGAATTTTGTTGAAATTATGTATGGTGAATGCTTAACAAGAATTGCTAGGTTTAGGTTTTTAGGGGTTTTTAGAAAGAATTAACTAAATTAGGAAGTGGTCGATTCGGAGCGGTGGTTAAAACACCCGTTAAAATTATATAGCAGAGTTCTGTAAATTGGTTTATCCATGTTTTTAATTTAAAGACGCAAACATAAATCTGACGACATCAGCATATGTCGATATTTAACAATATGGTGACTAGCGATCTGAATAGAGCTGACCCTGGCTTTCAGAAAACTCAGTATATCGTCTTTGTTTTTTTTTATAATCAACCCCCAAAAAGTAATAACGACCTTCATACCTATTGTTACTGGGTAAACCCAATACCAATAGATTATTCATAGGTAAGAGGCGAGCCAGGTAGATGAGAATGACATGTCGGCTGATATCGCATTTGGAAAACGCTTGTCATTAGTTTGAGACGGACTACACCGTGATTACAGATGCCGCTTATCGAGAAGACGACTGCGATATAATAGAGAAGCACCTATCCCTGGCCAGTCAGTTGAAAAATGAAACCGTAGAAACGGGGAAACAAATAAAAATAACCAATTGCAATAAATAATAGTTAATAGTAGTGTGTAAATGGTTACAACTCTAACTTTTATTTTATATGAAATAAATTTTCAGCTACGTTAAGTCTTGCGCACATTAACTTATTTGATTTCCCCGTCCTATTTGACGAATCCTTAACATTTTTTTAAACGCAAGTTTTGGATTCGTTAATGCTATCAATTTTCATTCAATTTAATAATTACAAAACAACCATCTTTCATTCGTAGAATTATTGCTTGAATTAAAAAAATCTTCAAAAAACTCAAAAATTAGCACCTTACCAGCCAGTCTACAGGGTAATTCACGCTGGATGGATAAAATAAAACAAATGGAATGTATTATATTTCCCTATATTTATCTATAGCGGATTTCGAGAAATTAATTATTTTGCTAACAAAACTAACCCAAGCTTACATAATTGACTGTATAAAAGTGATATAGTTTGTTATAATTTTTATTATTGACAGATTTAAATAGTATATTAAGGCGATTTATTAACAAATATATTTTAAAAAAATCTGTTCGTCTGATAAGATTTCAATCTTAGTTGTCTTAAAAATGCGTTTTTTATGTTTCTATGATTAAGAAGCGCGACTTCTTGTTATGTGTGGTTTTTAAATACCTATTTTTTTTTGTGCTAACTAAGCAGAATATTTCAAAAATTATTTCTCATTTTTAATATTATTAGTCTCATTGAGAAGCAAAGGGGGATTATGCGTCAATTTCGGTAATTTGGAGCATTAACTGCTCTTTGGCGTATTGAAAATAGCTATGAACTTACCCCCTGATATAAGCTCTTCCCAATTAATACCTGATGTTAATAAATAACACCACAAAGGTATTAATAATTATTGAATTAATTAGGAATTGTACCGACAATGCACGCAACACATTCAAAAAATTAACGGCCTTGTTTCAAGTGAATTATTTCCAACCCAAGGGTCCTCATAAATTCTCAAAGAAACTAATTGTTAGTTTATAAATGCCGAGTTTAACTATAGGAGCTCAAAAATAAAATAAATTGCAATGCAAACATTTTTATCTCGGATTTGATTTTGACGTGAGTTTATCTACTAAAAATTCACAAATGATTTGTTTGTGTATACTTATTAGATTTATTGCATTGTCTGAGTATGTTGCCAAGTCGTTGCTGGAGCTGATAACAAAAATATGAAACTACGGGTCCGTTGCGCTTTTCCGTCCCAGATTTTCGAATAATTTTCTTTTAGCGCTCTGCGTACCGCTCAACTTATTATTGCGCACCACACCTCGCTCAGGAGTTAGAGTTGTATATTTTTCGTGACCTTCATTACTTTAAAGTTTATTTTCGAAAATGCTCAATTTTGGTTAGTTGTTTCATTTCAATAACTTTGTGACTCGATCCCCTATATGTTTATTCTGAAAGCGTCAGAGGACATCTTAAAATTGAAAAAAAGAGAGAAATGTAAACCACTAGCTCCTTACAATTTTCAAACCGTTCTTGTCCGCATATCAAGTTTAACAGAAATGTTGTTGTCGATCGATGTTGCATAGACTAATTTTGATATGTTTAATAAATATTTGAGAAGGAAGACCAGCCAACCGACTCTTTTTAGGTTATCTTTGTTTGTTGTTACTTGAAAGTTCTGGAATCATAATTTATCATCAAAGAGTTGGCAATTATTCATGTTCCCATAACGCTGAACTTTGTGCCTGTAAGTAAGTATTGAACATTGTATGTGAAAACGACAATACTCAATTACTACTCATACGAAATAAAAAAAAAAAACATTTGTTTGGTATCTATTGTTGACAAGGGACAAAGTAATGGTCAACGTTTTCTATTCAACCTCAATTAAATTACATAAAAAACGAAGGACATAATACAAGTAACTAACTATAGCCAGCGTATTGCAGTTTGCTGTTTCGTTCATGTAATTTCATTGGTTATCCAATTAATTAAAAATCAAATCGCGTTACGCGGGTTAAGTAACGACCAAATAACTATAGTATCATTATTTGCGGATACTACCTCCATAATATCAAACGAGATTAATAAATATTCGGCTTTTATTTAAACGATAGATGGACAAGGCCAATACGTAATACGCGTACGTCTCGTTTATTTCGCGTTTTAATTTTAGTACGCCGCGGCCTTCGCGAATTTTCAGCGTAGTGCCTTTTAGAAAATATGCCGTGACGTAATAACGCTCATCTTCTGCGTATTTTGCCTTATCGCCCTGCCATCTTTTCTACCTATACCACATGGGTAAATATTCTTATTCGTTGAAAATATTAATCGTAAAACTTGACTTTCGAAAAATTGGAATAATTTCAAAAGCTGTAAAGATATTAGTTCGAACCTTGAGCGCTTTCAAGGTGAGTGATGGATAATATGTCAATTTATAATATCAAAATTCCATTTCAAAGTGTAGAATTTTTCTTAATACCTAACAACATTTTAAAATTTCCTTTGAGACATGTTTCGTCAAATGTTAAATATTTGCAAAAGAAAACGTCTCTAACTTTCGTCTTTAAAACTCGACACCCCATGTCTCTCGCAACCCCATTCTCACTTCTTTTTCCGTTGTCTGTTTTCTAAGCTAAGGGACAATCGGGGTCTATTTTTCCAAAGATTGAAAGGTCAATGTTTTTCAGATCTAATAGTGATCGAATCGTCAATCTCGCATAATACGTAGCGTACTATCGCCTGTGTCCAAAACTAACTAAAGTTAAATACCGACATTGCGCAGTTTTTATAATTTTATGTTATTGTTGGAACTTTGAGGACGTTTTACTGCGCGTTGAGTCAAGGTTGCCAAGTGTTCTGCAAAGGTGAACACAGACGGATGAATATTTTGACTACTTCTGTCTGTCTGTCTGTCTACTACTGTCAGTGAATAAGGTAAGAGTAAGAGTGGTAAGAAAGCCGCTAGAATGTTGCGAATTTTGACTTCACATAATTTTAAGATCCCAATAGAAAACTCAGCAACGCTTAGTACGCTGGGTGCCAATCCAAACGTGCCCCGTACATGTGTTCTGCCACCGTCTGCTCAGAAAGAGTAGCATCAAAGAGAAAGCGACAGATGGAACATTATGGGCGGAGCTCAGACAGCTTTTTTTTTCTTGTACTTACTATAATCAAATTGTACAACGAAACAGTTATAAACGTGTAGCAGATATTCCAACTTATTTATCGAAACTAACATGATATTAGACGAACATATTTTTAGATCATTTGGCAACATCGGATTGTTTGACGGGTATCAGTCTGACAGTGGGTTGTTTGACTATAGTCAAAAAATGATTTAAAAAAAATCATGAAGGTATTTGGGGTAGGCCTTGGGAAAACGATTTATTAAATATCTAAAATAGTTACCTTATTTATGCTTGACAGATATCTAGATATTAAAACAATTATTTAAAATGATAAGGAACATAAAAATTATTACTTGTTAGCACTTTTTGCAAATCTCAACACCAGTATTTTAATTTATAAAGCTAACAAAAATGTCGACCATTCTTTCTAACGCACAACCAACATACAGTTTCAATCCTCTCCAAAGCTTTCAGAATAAAAAGAGGTTGCATTCGCAAATTTTCTGGTTTTGGTTTGCCTTTTTTACTAATTATCGGTCATAAAGCTATGTGAAATAAGGTACCGCAAATACTTCATGAAAATTTAAAAAATACAATTTTGAGAAGTAATTTATACAAATAAATTGTTAAACATCTTTGAGAAGCTTATTATAATTAAATTGGCCTATACTATAAGATATAAAGATATAAGATATAAAAATATATAGATAAGATATAAAGATATAAGATATATAAAAAAAAAATTTTTTTTCAAAAAGACAAAACCATTTAGGAAACAGCTGAGTACGTCACTGAATTCGATGTAAAAATCCATATCGCATTCGCTTTTCACCTTTCCGACATTTTTATAGGGTATCCGAGCCTTGCGAAAACGCAAGGCTCTGTCTTCACTAACAACGGACACCGGGACTAAAATGGGACACAGTGTAGATATTATATAGGTATTACATAAAATAATATACGATTAGCGTATTTTCTATTACGTTTCGACATCTAGAATATATACGTGGTGTTGCATTCTTTTTATTTCGCCTCAAACACACGAGTACGGCCACATTATGTAATAAAAAAATTTGTTTAACAGCGATAATAATTTGTTTTGAACTTCTCTCGTACATCGAATATTTTTTCAGATAAGACGATAAAACATGCGTCCTATGCAGTCGCACTTGTATAACGTCGCAGCAAATTTTAATTACAATACTTTTCCAGTCGTTTTTTAAAGCGCAATTTCGTTTGATGCGGGACATTTTAGATCTGTGTTAAAAACGACAGCTTTCGAAACTTGCCATTATCTTCTTGGTTCGACCGTTACATGTTGCCCATTGTAGGTAGGTATACCTACGACGTTTAGCGAATCGGTCTAAACGTGTACAACCTCAATGTAGCGGCGATATCCGCTCGGAGGGATAAGCGGTCGTAACTATTAAAACCACAGAAAACGCATCGATCCGTGTAATAATAATTAGGCCCGCGGTGTTGCGTCATCTCAAACGCATGTGCAACGAAATCAGGGAAATGAAAGTAAAATACGAAGCAAAAAATTATATGAAATGATAGTTCACATCTATTTAAACAATTATGATTTTTCGCGTTCGCGCGAGCTCGGCGATCGCGCGCCTATTGCGCAAAACGACCACAAGAAGTTTGCGACGTTGCCTGACTTCCTACCGTGGCCTATTTTTGGTAGCGTTCCTCCATTTCTTGATCATTTTTAGTTAATAATGCTTTAAAACTTATTCTGGGTTACAATTTATGTAGGCCTTTAGGTTTCTAATACCTTTGACATAGGTCAGTAAGGTATAATTTGTTAAATATCTTAAAATCGTTGAATTTGTAATGAAAAGTGCCTCGAAATACTCATACACATACCTTTTTTGAGCATAATAACAAAAAACAGTTTATTTCTGACCAAAACTAACTTTTAAAAAATCCCAACTCATTTATTTGGTAATTTTCCAGTCTCTATTTCACTATACAAATTATACACCAGAGCAACTGGAATTTATTTTAAGCAGGTCATTTTATAAAGAAAGTCAGATTTGTTCAATAAATTTGGTGCACACATTCACACCTTTTGCGATTCATAGTATCGTTTGCCGTTCAATGAAGAAGCTATGTGACAAGACATATTAAATTTAAGTTTGGTTTAATTAGGCTTTAGTGTAATTTAAAATTTAAGGAAGCTTTAAGGAAGTTAAATCTATGCAAATATCGTTGCAGGCTTATGAACACCATTTAAGCATTTAACGTAATTGAACAAATAAGAGAACACGTCCAACTTTCAACTTAAGCTTCAATCTTTTAACAGCTTCCGTGTAATTCGGCTTGCGCAAGTGAGCTAGGAATATCAACCGCCTTCTGGTACCAAGATAAATTGAATTTTTTAACATTTTGATATTTAAGTTTAATTTTGTAATTGCCTGTGATTGATAAATTTGTATAACGGAAGAGACAATTGAAAATTTCTTTCAGTTCAAATTAAAAGTTACCGTAGAGTTTTCACTTAAATTACATTGAAAACGTCAACTATTAGGTTAAGCCAATAACGTAATACACCTTATCCATAAACTGACATCACAAAATAGTGAACCATTATTAAACTTTGGCATCCAAAATAGGATTTTATTCCTAACTTGACAACACCGCACGGAGCCCAAGGCTCTCCGTTGTTTACATAATAAACCGATCTACCGCGAAAACCGCCGAACGCAGCTTACCTGGACAACAAAGGATCGAACACCAATAAACAAGAAAATAACATAAAATTTCCTTAGGCGATGGTGGCCATCCGAAAAATCGCGTTAACCCGAAAATAGCACCGATCCAATACCTCACGCCTGTTTAGGCAATCTAAAAGGAGCTATCGACGAATGGCGTCCGCCATCAAAGCTCTATCTACGGCCAACGTATAACACGCGCTCGCTGGTCGAACTTCGACTGGCTTGATTCGGGATCCATTTCGCCAGCGCGCTATCTGCGCCAGTGTTTTGTTTTCACGATCAGCTGTCAGAATCAGCTGATCCGGATTAAACTTGATTTTCGCGAACTTGCCTTTTGCGCAGTTATATTTTCCGCGCTATATTATGGAGACGTAATATTTTCCCAAGTTTCTAGATAATAAATTAATCCAAACTTGATACCCAAAAACACTACAACATTGACAGTTCGGACATTTTCAGTACCATATTTCATAATAAATTTGGTAATTAAAAGATCCACATTTGATGATCAATACGTCATTGATAAAATCAACATGATGCAATGCGACAATCTTGATGCACTCTTGGCGATTGTTTTCGTATGAGTTTCATGTTGAATTCGTCGAATGATTTGTTGTGCTGATATCACTTAAAAAAAATAGTTCGTTTGGTATCATTGGAGATTCAGTGCCTTTATGGATTCATGTTCGGCATTAAAGGAAATGCTTGCCCGTTCTATCCAATCCAAACACAACACAATTATGTGAGAAAGGTGTGGAATAATAAAATCTTATTAGGTATGCAAAGGGACTACAGAGCCACCCAACTAAACACAATAATAATAATAGTTTTAAAAATTAATTAAAGTCTATTTCAGAAGGGTGTGGAGTAATAAATAATTAGATATGCAAAGGGACTATAGACTGACTTACAGCGTACTTAAGCCGCTTTTATCGATTGATTTCATTGCATCTAACCTGAAAACTTATGGCCTAAGGAATACACAATGTAATCTTTAATCTTACAGGGAGGAACAATAACCGTTAGACAATATGGTTTATTTGAACTTATACTTATTTTTATCCACAATTAACTAGTGAATACTGATTTTCAAAAATATATAAAAGAAGTTTAGTTATAATTTATAATATTATAATATAATTATATTTATTATAATTATATTTATTATAATTAATTATATTTAATATAATTCATTAAGAAATTTGGTTATTACATAAAAAATCACCGTTTGTAAAGCCCAGTCGCGTGAATTGGTTGTGTGATAGTTCCGTTATACCTTATATTGATAGTGTGCACGTCACTTTTAAATATTTTTTCGTATAAGTAAGGAGGAGATTTATTCACCAAAATCTTAGAAAATAAGCAAACGAAGTGCGTATATCTTCGATTTTGTATGTTTCGCCATCCTACCATATGGAGAGTGTGACTTATACCCTCAAATTTTGTTACACCGAATATATCAATGTGATTCAAACATGGACGAAAGATAACATCACAGAAACTAAGTTGTGATAACACTTACCCTCAATGACTCTCACAACAATGCTATTGTTTTCCTATTTAAATAATCCTTGTTTTGGTAAATAATCGTTAAATTGAAGCAGTAACCTTTTTGAAAGCATTTAGATATGTGATTTGAAAACCGCAATTCACTGTCCAACAGTAGACTTCAATTTTTTAAGGTGTCATTATACTGAATTAAAAGTGATTCTTTAAATGTATGTAGAAACTTCTGTTTTTCTTATATTCAAACAATGTAAAAACGGACTTGTAAGCATTTAGTTGCAGGCAGTGTTTCTAAGAAATTAATAAATCTTCTTTGTGCAATGAGTGCGATGAAATCTTTGAAATAAATTTTGGTAAGTCTTGTCCTCTTGGTTATAGGTAAGTTTAACAAACCATTTTTGAGTATTGCTTAGAGCTTTCAAATGACATTCAGCTACTCCACTCCATCCTAGTCCCATACAAAAGATGTCATTAAAGTAGGAAGAGGTACAGTAGTCTATGCTGATCTTGTTCGAAGTATTGCTTGAGTTTTTTTTATTTATACCTGTATAGTTATTCCCAGATATTTACTTGATGGTTCCTTTCCGGATTTCTTCATTATTATTTATTTTAAAAAAACTGAAGCTTTTCAAACGAATCTAATAAATTGCAAAAGGTAAATAATATTTCTCAATCTTGTTCGGCTAGATGTTTTAACTCATTCCAAGCATCTAGCGAGCAAAAGACAGCGGTTTAATCTAGGAAATTTACAATTACAACGCAGAGGCTGCGTTTGGTAGCGTTAAAGAGTACTCTTACACTTTTAAAGCCATACCGAGCAATTTGATAAATAAAACCCTAAATTTATTTAGAAAATTGGTTATTATTAATCGAGTATTTTCTAACAGTTTAGAAAGAACCTGCGACCAAGCTGTTTTAAATATACGCATCACCACCAGAAAGATTTGCTCACCGGTTTTGGGATTCCTGTGCGAATTTTTGTCCTGCCTAATAAATATAAGATTTGTCAAATCGCTTTGGAACTTTTTGGATGCTTCGACATAGTAGGGGATATCGTCGTCGATTGCAAAACCGAATTAGCAAAATAAAACACGAGCGAAACCATTAGGTACTGCTTTCAGTTTCTGAATCACGGACCGTAAAACATTATGCTACACTGAATTACGTTATTATTTTGGAAAACGGTCGGTCATTTTTAGCAAAATAGGTCAATGAGCAAGTGGTTTTAGGTCAGGGAATTCAGAGGGCCGTTTGGTTAAATTCGGCCTCCGTGCCAAGTTCTCCTGCTTCTATTTCTGTTGCCGTAGGATGTGAGTTATATATGTTCTATAATAATAATTATAACATTTCAGTTAGAGTTTTGCAGTGGGTTGTTTGCAATTCCGCCGATAATAAAATTCATGTGTTTTAATGAAATACATCAAAAAGTCTCGGCTTAATATTTAGACAACCTTGATTCTCGGTATTATTTTGATCCATTTATGGAATACGGATATTTTAATAGGCGGTCATACGAGTTTTAGCGAGCCACTAGACCGGTCAGCCTTGAGTGGAGAACAAACGACTCATTCCTCGTCTAAGTCGCTATAGCTGTTTTAATAATTTTTGTCCGGAGTATCGGTGGCCCCGGAAATAGGCGGGTTACATACTGAAGTCTAAATAAAAGGTGCAGTCTAAACATTTCTGTACGGTAAACTATTGTTCGCCATCTCAACCTGTCGTCCTGCTTTGTACAGAGGTTTTTTAAATTTGTGATTTAACCTTTTCATAAAAATGGTTAAAAGTGATTTTATCGACTAGTCTGGAAGTTAAGACTTCTTGAAATGATATTACGTTTATAGGATTTTCTAGAATAAAATTGAGCATTTTCCCATTGGCTTAAGCACTGATTTTAAGGATGATATTGATTTCTTCTTCTTCTTCTTTCTATTGCATCTGGGATGATTCCCTGTTTTTCTTTACATCTTTGTCATATTTAGTCATTTGGAAGGTTGTCGCCCCACCTTTTCCTACGTCTTCCAAGGCTACTTCGTCTTGTTAGTTATTTATCCCTCGATATTTTCACTATTCTTTCTTCCGCCATATCATCAATGTGTTGATTCCATTTTATCTATTCGATCCCAACACCCATCATTGGTGTTATCTACCCCGCGCACTCGCTTAATATCTTCACTTGTTTCCCTATCCTTGAGTGTTTTTCCCGCTATTTTTTTAAACTATTTTCATTTCTGTGGTCTCTAATATTCTTTTTGTTTGCATAAATGAGTTCAGGTCTAATATCAATTTATATATCCGGGCTATTGCTTCAGTTCAAATGTGTTTGTTTTCGCCAGATGGTATCGTTCAGCTATGCAGCTTCCCTAGACGCTCTTAGAGCTTGGTTGCTTGCTTCTGTCTCAATATCTCAATAACTCCTTCAGATATTTCAATTCCTAAATATTGAAATTCCATTTCCTGTTGTACTACTTTGTCTTCAACCACAAGTTTCCATCTAATGGGTGACTCATCGATTTTGTTTTTGCCGCTGATATAACCATATTAAATTGTTTGGCTGTTTTATTGAACTGGTACAGAAAAAAGTCTTTGAGGGTTATCTTCGTTCTCCGCCACAAGAACCGCGTCATCTGCATAGCACAGAATTTTCATTTCCCTATTTCTCATTTTGTATTCCCTTAGTTTGCGAAGTTGTTTTATTATTTCATCCATTACGATGTTAAAAAGAAGCGGGCTGAAAGAATCCCGTTGCCGAATACTGGCAGATATTTTTTGAGTTAGTTTGCCATTTATTTTTGCTCGTGCGTTATTTTAAATGTATATATTTTCAATTGTTTTGATGATGTTCAATGAAATTTGTCAATTGTAAAGAAGGTGTATTATATCTTTCAATTGTATTCGATCGAAGACTTTCTGCAAGTCAATAAAATACATGAAGGTTGGTCGGGTGTATTCGATTAATTTTTCTGTTTTTTGTCTTATAACACAGATGATATCTGTGCAGGATCTTCCTGATCTAAATGCTTATTGTTTTCCTGATAGTATGATATATTCATTAATATTGATCGCTACTATCTTCGTAGTTAACTTCAGGGTCGCACATAGCAAATTTATGCCCCTGCAGTTCTCGGGTTTTTTTTATCTCCCTTTTTGAATAAGAGAATCATAACGCTAGTTCGCCATTCATCTGGTATTCTATGTTGGGCGAAAATATTCTTGATTAAAGCTGTTCCTTAAGCTTTTCACCTTTATTCTTTAATTTTTGGAGTGCCGTTACTATATCTTTTTTTTCTACATCGATCTCATCACCTGTTATTATATTTGGTGTATTGGGTTCAGTTTTGGCCTCCTTTCTATTGTAAAGTTCCCCCAAGTATTTCATCCAAATATTCTTTTCTATGTGTATTGTATTTACAAACTCATTTGTTTCTGTTCTCTGGTTTCTTATTAATCGGCATATTTGCTTCAGCATTCCATAAAAGTAACGTTCTATCCAGTGCTGGCCTGGGATATTGATTTGTTGTTATTTATGGATATAATAGGTTCGCCTAAAATTGTTTTTAATATTTTTTATTATAGATTTATATTCTAAACTATGTTTTTATATTATTTATTCATGAAAGTGTGAAGTAGTAAATGATTCATTTTACTAGTATTATTAATATTATTAGATCCATGGTCTATGATCTCAAAATATGGACAAAAAAACAAATATATTTTTTTTAAATCAACGTTGGCAAATCTGCATCGTTTCTCTACCTATTGTTGGGATCCATAATCCAGTAAAAATATTCTATATGAAGTATACCATGAGTATGCAACCAATAAAACGCTGCCGTATTTTCACTGACTTGTTAGTAAATGATTTTCTCTACTCCCGTCTGTAAAATACCTAATTACACACCGATCTAGCGTGCGGGAAGCGTCACTTTACCAGGTCACTTTCGTTTTCCACGATCAGAGCCATTCCGGACATTTCCGGGGTTTTACCGCACGGATTTGGGAGCAATCGGATGTTTCCGGCGATATTTCCCACGCCTTGAATTTTGACGTTTGCCCATTCTGACGATCACGTCAATGAAAGTATTAGTGTGGTTTTGCGAAAATGTACTCAAAAACTCAGGGTCGTAGAAAAAGTATAGTATGCAACACTTTCGGTAAACTTTTTAAGTCACTCATTTATTAAACACTCGCTCCGTTCGTGTCAAATAAACTCGTGAGTCAAATGTCGTTTACCGAACTTGTTGCATAATATACTAAATTCTTATCATCTAAGATGAGCATTTACTTTCCTCGCATGGCGGAAAAATGTATTATTACACACACTTAACTGCAAAAAACTAGTATGTTTTAGGTGATGTTTAGATTTCATAAACGAAATATTAATTAAGCCCAGATCTCACAAATCACCAACCATTTATAAACCAAAAAAAAAACGTTCGACTAGTTAATAAAAATAATGAAAAGGCAAATGTTTTAATCAGTCTATTAATACCTGATGTATTAATGAAATTATAAGTTTGCAAAAAAAGGAAATACACTTGAAATGTGGAAATACAGTGTTCTTTAACAAATTTAGGTAAGTCCAGCAGCACCTAGCTAAATTTTTGTAGGATTTAATTTATTGTTACAGTTTTACCTTGTTCAAATTTGGCTAAAAAAATCTATATAATTCATTCGATAATTTCTACATATTTAATATAAAATCAAATGCCATTATGTTACTAAAATAATTGCACATAAAGACATATTGCACTATTTAAATGCTATAAAGTTACTAAAAAAATGGCACACAAACACATATTGCACTAATTGTAGTGTTAATGCCAATAATTACTTTAAATACAAAAGTAGACATATTTTATTATTAATTATTATTATTATTATTTATTATATTTTTATTCCTTTGAAGGTATAGTCTGTAAAAAATAGATATGCATGTATATAATTAATTTAATCATTTCTATATATTTGGTATAAAATCAAATGCCATAGAGTTATTTAAAAAATGGCACATAAACACATTGCACTAATTGTAGTGTTAACACCAATAATTACTTTAAATACAAAAATAGACATTTATGTAAAGAATATTAACGTCATATCAGTATTACTGTCAAGGAGATTCACAATATAAGTAATAGGACACCTTCCTGCGGGGAAGAAACCGAAAACAATAGTAGACGTTTTAAGCTAAATAAACGTTACGCTTTTAAAATTCATCATGTCTTGTTAAAGCTTCTCCAAAATCTGTCGCTTGAGACCCAACAAACAAATCGTATTTCTCCAACACTTCTTCCTTTGTTAACTGTTCATCGGCATCTGAGTCTGCTTCATAAATCAAATGTCTGGCTTCAGCGTCTGCATGATCAAAATCTTCAGGAAGAATCCAATTTTTCACCTCTTCTTCATCCATGTAGCCGTCACCATCTTTATCACGGTAAGTGTTAAACTGCTCACGTTCACTTTTCACCCAATCAGGTTCAAGTTCACTTTCCTCACTATGGTACATGTCACCAATATATTCATTCAATGAAATCTGAAACATATATTATTAATTTGATTTATGCTGCATTGAAATGTAACTCACCTTTCCATCATTATCCTTATCAATATCTCCCATAGTTTCTTCAACTACAATATTTCTCATATAGTCAACCTCTTCTGGGTGTAGAAATGCAGCAAATTCTTCCTTTGTTAGTTCATCATCCCCATTCAAATCCGCTCCATGCCACCGTCTTCTATCCCTTTTTAACATAGCTTGGTAAGATAATGTTTCATCCCTTTCTGTGACATCATGAATATCATCCAGGAAACCATAAACCAGCTTCTGATAATTCTCCCAACTCACTGTTGGATTATCGTCTGGGTTTTGTTGTTTCCACTGACGATCTACATCTTCCGAAATGTATCGCTTTTGTGTGTAACGTATCCAGTCCTTGAGTTCTTCCCGGGATATAAAGCCATCGTTATTGTTATCAATTTTATCAACTATAATCCTTAAAAACAAAAAAAAATAGTACTTTATTTCGGTATATCACAGCAATTTACCCCAATCTTCTCTTGCTTTCCTCAGGAGGCAGCTGATCAAACGTTTTCGCCTCTTCACCAAGAAATGCTTCATGATCATATTCAGGGTTGTGTTGTTCATTTTCGAAGTGTTGTTTGTCACTTAATTCTCTGTCATATACTCTTTCTTTTGATGTTTCATCCTTAGGAAGCCCGTAAATAATTGTTAAAAGGCTGAGTAACAAAATTACGCCAAATTTTCTCATTTTCAAAACTATAAATTAAACGAAAGGAAATTAGGTCACCCTAATGACTATAGTATATGGAGTGATTCAATTGGTCCATCGAAAACGTTAACACCGGAAACGATCGTCTGTTAGAATCATAAAACGAAAATAAAAATATCTCTAGAACATCTTAAACTTACTTAAGATTACAAATGGCAAATATATTTACGGACTGTAGATTGAATATATCTGTCAATATGTTACATTTAATAAATTTCAGCTAAATTTCTTGTATTTGTATTTAAACTGAAAACAGATTTGTAATTTTGACTTCCCACAAACTTATAAGCACAGTTAAGTCGTGTCTCACGTGTCGTCGTTGTCAAGTAATTAAAAACCGTATAAATACCCCTTACATTTTCTTTTAACCTGAAATAACTGTGGCATAGATAGCGTTTGGTTAGCCAAGAGGCTGGATAAGTTTCAAGGAATTGACCATGGAATTAAATTGGACATCGGTAGGCCACTACCTTTACACACAATTGAGAGGACAGAATTCCCCAAATAATATCCAGACTAGCGGGTTCACCGATTTGTTAAAAATAAAGTTCTAATAGTTTTTTTTAACATAGAAGACCGAATATGGTGTACTTATATGATTCAAAGAACGGCACTTTTAAGCATTGGAACAAGAATAAAAGTTATAAACGGTGCAATAAGGCAATTAATTAGAACATTGATTATGTGCTCCCTCATAATTCTGGAGTCGGTACGCCTTATTATGGACTAAATCCTCCGTTCGGAAAATTAAGTCTATCAGCACTTCCAACCAATGCTTTTAGGAAACCATTAATTCTCTTTGGCTTTAATTAACGGAAACAACTTTATTGGAAGAACTCTTAGAAAATCACAACATAAATAAAAAAAGCACTTCTAAGCAATCTTACACAATATATAAATCTTTGAAGAGTGATCGAGCTAATCATATATCTACTGCTTCCGGATGACATGGCAAAAATGTTGCTAGTTTTTTTACTGTCTCACATGGTCCTTAGCCAGACCCGTGAAATTTTTGTAGACGATGAAGTACCTATATTCAAGGTTGATGGCCACGACAAAGTCGAAATTGCTGAAGACGCTAAAGAAGAAATTGAACACGCTCCTTGTCACATGGAATATCAGGTAAGTACGCAATAATACTGAAATACTGAAAAATGTTTCTTAATATTTAAAGGTCATGAAACGGGTTGTCGGTACATGCATCAAGTTAGGGAAAACGGCAATGGGTTGTGTGGCAGGGAATTATTTACATCCGCTACATCCTGAATGTATGGCGAGTTAACTTCGAAGATAAGCATGGATGGAAAATATGGATTTTATATTTTTATTTTTCGACTGTTATTTTTTGCACATGAGCACCGCGTTTTGTAAATAAACATTTCCATGTCTGTCATGCGTTATTTGTTGTTTGTTTATAGAATAGCTTCCTTTTCATATCGCCATAGTTTCGGTTGTCAAAGATAATATTGTTTGTTGAGGCCGTGCATTATAAAATGTATTTTCTTCGTCATTACATTTCAGCATAATCACAAAAAAATCCCGCTGAGTAAACACATCATTATTTTTCTACCCAAAACCACTTAATATTTACAGCATCGGTGTTGCCGCTTCTATTGAAAATTTGCTACAACTCAAAATTCTCAATTAGGACTTCGGATAGCATTTTTTTTATAAAATAAAAAATAAACTCAGACAGGGGCTAATAAATAGTAGAATAACTTGATTGTGTGCTTAGCACGAATTACGCTGGGTAGACAACAACCCTTACATGTTATAATATTTAAAACAAAAAACAATTTTGAGCAATATATAGTCCATAATATAGGATATAGGATGAATTGTATTGTATTATTTTGAAATCTGTTAGATTTGGGAGTTTGCAAAAATAGTTTCAGCACAATATTAAGTGCACACACAGACTAGGAAGACCATAGTGCACGATAATATTATTGTGGAATCTTATGTTGTAATTAACGTTGTTGGAAATGAATTATATTATTATTATTATAGTGTTTTCCTGTGACCGGCTGTGAGTTTCGCACCGAATTTATTTTTATTTATTTTATATTCGTATGAACCTCCTCCAGATTCATAAGTGGCAAGTCAAATATGTCAAAATAATCAGATTTTTAGAGAAAATGGCTTTTATTTCGGCATCCTTTCCGTTTAGATATAGAAATATTTTAGGAACGTTTTTTTGGCTTTGAGTCAATTTTTTATGAGAGGGCAAAATCATTATTTTCTAAACACTCTGTCATCGTAAAAGGCACCAGAGAAAACGGGTGCCCATGATATTGCTCAACTGCAGCCACATAAGAATATAAACTGGGGTAGGGGGTTGGAGTTTGGAATATAATGGGGGTTGTTTGAGCCTAAAAATATGGAATATTTTACAAAAATGGTCAGACATTGGCAACGGAGCGGACAATGTAACAATATACAGGGTGCCTTATTTAAGTTTTTATCCACTTAACTAGGTGAGTAGCAACACATAATTAGACCTAAATCTAAGTAAATATATAGAAAAAAAAACAAAAAAACAAAGATACATCAACAGAGACAACTCCCTTTCTATCGCTCTATAAAGTTATGATGAATTTTTAAATGAAATTATTTTGCGATATATTAATGCACAGTAGACTATGCTCTTGCACTTCATATTAATTTGTGGCGTACACCATTTCACAGAAATTAAAACTGCAGAGAATAAGCGAATCTCACAGCATCCTCCAAAGATATAAGGCATTACGGGAGTTATACAATACACTCAGAGATGTGCTTCTCAGATCGTAGGTCAACATCTGAGCAGTCCCAGACTAGAGTCAAAACCTAAGTGACCAAATTTTCAGCAAATTTCTACCTCTCGTATTTCCAAAACAATGTTCCATGGACCGTGAGACACCCTGTATGTGAAACTGCAGAACGGCACTTTCGAGAGTGTCTATCAATCCGTATTTGATAAATGGCTCTCTTGCAAACGCAAAGATGGCGTTTCGTATTTCGGCTAAAGGAGGCCTAATGAGCGAATCTATTTTCGAAACACGTAACCGTTTGACATGGTCGCAGATTTATATTCCGCACGCGTATTCGAGCCTGTTTACCGAAGTCACGAAAGCTTTTAGGAGCCTTCTTGTCTCTGAAGTGCGCCATGTATTTATTTCGTGATACCATGAATGGTGCGTTAAGTAGCACTGATATCTATAACGAAACCGACATTGTCCTTTATTGGTTACAATTTGCGGCATTTTCATCTCCTAATAAAATTCGGTTGATTTCGTTAGACCAGTTTTTTAGGACATTAAAACCTTACTTTCGCAAAATAAGTGCAGTATCGGCGCATTTTATTTCAAACGAGCCACTTCTTCGCTTTTTTCTATCGTACTCCTGCGGACCACTGTGCGACTTTCGCAAAATTAAAACTTTGTTTTGTATGCACCCTGTGCAAAGTAAGAATAAATGTTAGTTTGTGCCTGTAGCAGTGATATTCTATATTTTGTCTGGATGGTAAGGTAAGGTAAGGTAAGCATGTATTCATTCTCTTGAACGACAACGTATACAAAATACACAATACAACATAGAAAACTTAGTCGTAGTAATAATAATAAACCGCTTGAAAAATTGCAATTGATATACATAAGTGTAAGTAAATTAAGAAAACATGCAGCAAAAGGATTCAAATAAATCGCAGCCCTCCAAACAAAGCCCAAATAATGTTAAAGGCTCTTTTAAAAAGACAAATCATTATTCCAGATAGCAAACAATAAGCCTTATATAATAAGTAAATAAACAATAAATATCCAAGAGGGAAGGACAAAGGAAAAGGCAGGAATAAAAGAGAAGAATAGGAGAAATTGAATAAAAATGAACAAGTATTGCAAGGCACTACTGTTGACGTTTGAAGAAAATTATTAGAATTTTTATGTGGTAAAAAAAAACAAAATATATCTTTTAAACAATCTTTATTTCTAAGTACATAGCTCAACTTTTGATTTATTTTGATATATTTATACATGTTACATCAATTTAGCAATAATATAAAAACATTTTACACCGAATTTTCACAATATAATTTCGCGCCCAGGATGACACATGTTACAATATTGTCATGTGAAAATGTTGCGCCCAGAGTTTTTCAAAATACGTCTTTGAAAGACGTAAAAAATAGAGCTGTATTTCACAATGCAACGCACAAAAATTGCCTAACTTTTTTATTATGAGGTTTAAAAGTTGTTTTCGATCGAATTGTTATTGTGTTGGATCTTAGTCAATAGATATTGTCTTTTGATGAAATAAGTGTAGCTCGGTTTCGCTCTTTTCGCCATATAGGCTGGTAACCAGGCCGGATGGGCCCAGAGGTCCGTGGTAGAAGCGAGGGGACCCGCGTTTTTTATGGCATCGGTTAATTTTTCTTTTTCGACGAGTGTCAGTAAATGAATCGTTAACCTTATTTGTACCGCACCATGATACACCTATCAACGAGGAATCAAATCAAAATCTTACTTTTAAGTTAAAGTAGGAATTCTTCTTGCGGTACCCGGTGCAGCAGAAACCTGTAATTTTTGAGGTTATTTTGAAAATAAAATTTTTAAAAAGCAGCCTCTTCATCGCTTGAATATAACTAGGGTTTTATTTCTCTAAAGTGGTTGCAATAGAAAAACAATTGAACTTTGTGTTTACGAATTATTTAATAAAACGGGACACCTTGTATGTCCGTTAATCGATTCGCACCGCTTTCTTGAATATGAAAGGTTGTTATGATTTTTTGCAACTCCAAAAATTGATGTTTTATCTTATTTGTTATGCGAAATATAAAAAGGCAAATACAAAATTTGTTGTTTTTGTCTATGGGCCGTAGAGTCGTTTATGGGGAAAAATCTTTAACATCGTAGATAGCGGTAACGAACATCAAATTAGAATATTTATGTAAACTTTAACAATGAATAATCCTAGCAATATGTCTTTTATCTTAAATCTCGTGACTAAATAGATAAAATTGAAGTTGACTCATAACTAATCCATAAAAAATTTGTTTTGTCGAAAAATGTGCCAGTTGATAAATGAATAGTGAAGGATTAAAAAAAAATGTTTTTTTTTTGTCGCAACCGCGAAAATTAATTATATATTTTCTTATTGACTTTATTAAAAATTAATTCTTCAGTTAATAATTTTTTTATTCATAATTATTTTTATTTATATTTAGCTACTTGTAATAAATCAATTAAATGATTGATTATTTAATGAAATCTCCTCCAACCATGTAAGATTTGAAATGAGTTTGGATGAGTTTGGATGAGTTTATAGTACAGGAAAGTTTTATTTTTATGACTCCTGTTTAACCGCTTGGTTAGTTAGTTCCTTGACATTCCAAATATATTATTTTAAGCGTTAGCGGAAGATGACAACTTGGGTGCATTTTTTTATTAAAAAGGGATTTTATATTAAATTGGTGTGCAAGAGGACAAGGTTCCTTCTCTTCGCTTGCAACTTCACTTTGAGAGAAGAACTACTTTTGTAATTTTGATACTGTCATAGCCGGCTGAGGTCAATCAACCATCATACACAAGCGTGTAATTGGTTGCATACTACCGTCACATGTGTTCACTGCTTTATGTTGTGTGCCTCTGGGTACAAAGTGAAGCTTTAGGGGATTAAAAAATTAATAAATATTAAAATTAAAAAAAATAAATAAAAAGAAAATAGCCTTACGAAGCCATAAATCAACAAACCTTTCGACCCAGTGATTATTCGCATTTACCCTAGAACGCTTTCGAGCGCGATTGGAACGGGATTTGGGATTTGAAAAATTAGGATTGATATATATTAATGATTTTTTGACATCAACCGTATCGTCCGTCCCCGTCTAGATCCGTCTAAACAGTATGAGCGAGGTAAAAATGCCACCGCATTTTCCGAAAATGGTTGGTTACTTTTGATATTTGAAAAGTTTAAAGATTTCAAGCGTTTCATAAAATGAATTACTAGTCGCCTCAATTGCAACTGAGAATAATTTATAATTTTAGTTTTTCTAATGCTTTTGGAATAAAAACAAAGTTAATGGTGATGACTTAAAAAAGAAACGCCGGATTGCACAAATTTTAAGAGGATTTATAGATTTATAGTCAATAATATGGATTAAATCAAGAAATCAATTTGTCGTTTATTAATTATCAATTATCAATTTTTGTTTCTTAACATTTCCGTTTTTGTATCATTTCAATATATTTATTTTTCTCATTGATTAGGGCTTTTTAATGAAATATTATAAAACTGGGCTAACAAAATTCAATTAATCGTAATAAAAATTGATTGTAACTAGTGTGAGCGGTAATAGTAATTGCGGCAGGTTTTCCAACTTTATATACACGCATGTTTTCATTCATTTATTCATTCGGTTCATTTTTGGTTACATTGCATCCGGAGTCATTAAAATGACCAGAAAGAACAATAAGAAAAATATATATATATATATATATATATATATATATATATATATATATATATATATATATATATATATATATATATATATATATATATATATATATATATATATATATATATATATATATATATATATATATATATATATATATATATATATATATATATATATATATATATATATATATATATATATATATATATATATATATATATATATATATATATATATATATATATATATATATATATATATATATATATATATATATATATATATATATATATATATATATATATATATATATATATATATATATATATGCTTTGTATTTGCAATTTTGTATTACATACTTTTGAAAAGCTCATTATTAAAAAAATTAACTTTGTATATCATAATTTGTGAGTTTCACCCTGTACACACAAGCCAGCTTTTTTAATAAGGCAAGCACGCCCTAAACTTATCAAAAATAGGAAACAATGCAATCTAGGAGAAAAGTATTTGAGTGACTTTTGCTTAGTTTGGTTATGCGTCTTTGAAAAGCTGGTTGGCATATACATTTTTGTTGCCAGTTTCAGTATGCGGATTTTTTGCTATTAAGGAAGGACCACAACTAAACCACATACAACTACTAAAACTAAACAACAGAATTTGTTTTTTTTTTGAAAAGAGACATTGAACTTCTTCGTGCAAATGAAAATTGAATTTGATTATTATCAGTTAGTTACTTGGTGGCTCTTAAAATTGTCATTTTGTTTATTGTTGAACATCTTGCGTTATCCTACACTACGGTCACCAACTTTTTTCAAATAAAAAATAGTATTTTAAGTGTGAAAATAATATAGTACACCGGCAACAAATACATATATTTAAAAAAAAAGTCCTATTTTTTTCGGACTTTCCTTTCTGTACATGTACATGTCTTGCAGGAATGTAAATTTAATTTAGTATTAATTGGAAGTTTATTTTTTATTCATTGTAAACGACCCTGTTTGCTATATCTTCGATAGTTCATTAACGAAAAAAATGCCTCCGTAAAAGCAGATACGGTAGGCATAGAGCGCAAATGGAAAATGTGTTGGCATTTTTGGTCTGGCCGTTTGTCCTTTGGTCTGATGATTAAGCAATGCAGGCCTTAGTTTAATTTGTTGTCGACCTTTGATGGCAAACATATAATATTTTTGCGTATCTTCTAAGCTGAAATATAGTACAGGGTGTGTCAATGTACAACGTAAAGTTCATTATCTAATTGGTTTCAAAAGTTATGAGAAAATGGTAAATACAAAAGTTGTACAGATTGTTAGGGTTCACAAATTAAAATTAAGAATATATAAACGAATAAAATGTATTTTTTTTAAAAACGAACACCCTATTTTTAAATTTTGTTGTGAAATCCTCTTAAAATTCTTCAGATTTTTTATTAATACATATACCTGAACTTAATAGCTTTCCAAAAATTTTAATTTGTCTAAAAAAAACTAAAATTAAATATTAGCGTTATTCGAAGGTGGCGTACAAAATAAACGAATATATTTAGATAATTTTATATTGAAAAATTTCAATTTTCTTTTTTTTTCCAGAAATCTTATATTCACAGAAAAATTATGTTGGCTTAGTGGTCTTCACGAATTGATGCAGAGTGTATTTTCAACTATTTATATTCAATTAAAATACAAATTTGTTCGAAAGAAAGACAGGCGTGTTTACTCATCAGACAGTGGTCAATATGATTTCTGTCTCTTGACAAATGAATATACCAATAAAATAGCAATGCTATTCAACACTTACCAAAGTAATTAATGTTAAATACGTATAACAACAAATTAACTTGTCTTATTTTTAATAATTATTATGGCGCAATAAATGTTCAGCACTATGCCCTTCTACTTGTAAGGTACTTATTTTGTAATTATGCATATTATGTTTCTTCACTATCCGTCGAAACTTCGATAACTCGAATTTTTGATAAGTCGAACCAAATTGGTTGGCAATAGCGTCAAAAGTAGGAAATGCGTGTTAGTTTGTCTCGATTACTCGAATATCTTGATAACTCGAACGAAACGTTTGGTGCCAACTTCGATAAGTCGAATTTTCTCGGGGAACCCCCTAATTCCGACCGATCTTAACCTGTCTTTTTGACGTATCTATGCAAGCAGTTGAATTTCTGTGCTTGCTAAGTTCACTTGTATGATTTACTACTTAATACTAAGTGAAAAATACTGTCCCTATTCAATTTACACATTATATTAACGACATTTTTGGATTTTTGCATTTGTTGATATGGCATCAAAACGTACTTTAAAAGCTTTGTCTGTTGATCAAAAATTCAAGGTTATAAAAGAAGCGGAAAGTGGCTCAAAAAATATAGATGTAGCTGTGAAGTATGGGATTTTGGCAAGTATAGTGTCTAAAATTTTGAAAAATAAACATTCAGTCATCACCGCAGTGGAACGTTTCGAAAAAAACAAAAACAATAACATTACACTAATGGATTGTGTTGACGACGTAACTACCGCATGGAATATCGACGTTAAGCCTAAAACAATTGCCAATTGTTTTAAAAAAGCCGGTTTTCGTCAGTATTCTGAATGGGACGAAGAAGATGAGATTCCCTTGATTTTCCTAACTGAACGATTGAAAGAAAAGAGTGAAGACGAAATCCAAATAGAAAGCTAGTTTAAAGCTTGGACAAACATTAGAGGTATAGCAGAAGGTAGCACCATCAACGATTTTATACATGTGGATGAGGATATTGTTACTTCAGAGTTTCCTACTGATGAAGATATTATCGAGTCCTGCAGATCCGAACCAGTACAGTTAAACATCGAAGATGACTGCGAAAGTGACACGATGGAGGAGGATTGAACAACCGATTCCCTCTATGATTGTTTAAATAAAATTGAAGCTTTTGTTGAAAACCAAAATAAGAAATCCGGTCGTCGTCGTCAGTCACAAATAATTGACTTTTTTCCAGTAAAAGAGTAAACTTTAATATGTACATACATATGTATGTATATGTGTATACATACTATGTTTATATATACTGGGTACATATACAATACATTTGTATGTACATATATTACGTAAATGTTATGTAATATAATGTAAATAATATATACATACATTTGTACTACTATTTCATAATTTTCGTTTTTTGTTCAAAAATCATAGATATTAGAGCATTTATGTAACGTATAACCCATTTTAAAAAATGAATGAATAAATGTTCATTCACAAAAAAGTACATGCATTTCTAGTTTTTATTGGTAACTCGAAGTCTTGATAACTCGAAATTTTCAATGTATCAAATCGCAGTTCGACTTATCGAAGTTATCGAACAATTCTTTGACACTCACCATAAATGTAAAACAAATTCTAAATATCTACGTTTGCATAATTATACATTATCTTGCTTTGTCAAATAAATGCAACTTTTAACTATGAAAAGGCGATAAAATAAAAAAAAAATATATAACAAAAACTAGTATTTTTTTTTAAGCAAAATATTGGAACAACTATTAGGTTTAGGGTAAAAAAAAAGCGATTTTTTTTTTGGATCTGACGCACAAAAACTGGTTGCTAGTTACCTCTAGAAAGCAATTACCATGTATGAGCTCTTAATATTAATCGGAAGGTTATCCTCATTATAGTTTTGCATTTCCGATTTAGTCTCATAAATAATTATATCTTATTACCAATAGATCATTATGCCAATTTTATTGATAATTTATCACTGTTTGATGATAGTGTACCACTATATATAAATTCTAGGGTTAAAAAGTTTAAGATCGATTAAAAGAACATCAATTCGATTATTCAAAAGGACTTGAGTGACTTCTTTTTTTCAAAAATTATACCATTTGATTTCCTTGATGTGGACGTTGCATTGTGTGCTTCAAATGAGACTTATAAGGAAAATGAAGAGTATTTCAAACAAATAAAAGATGTAAATAAAGCAGCAGAGCGTGGAGTGGCGAGATAGTTTCAATATTTGCTGCACGATGCAAAGAACATCGAGGACTATTTCCTGACTGTAATAAAAGTAGATTTGTATAACTAAATAAGTATAAATATATATATATATATATATATATATATATATATATATATATATATATATATATATATATATATATATATATATATATATATATATATATATATCCGAACACTCGAAGTGTATATACATATATATATATATATATATATATATATATATATATATATATATATATATATATATATATATATATATATATATATATATATATATATATATATATATATATATATATATATATATATATATATATATATATATATATATATATATATATATATATATATATATATATATATATATATATATATATATATATATATATATATATATATATATATATATATATATATATATATATGTGGAATTTTACAGGGAATTCAAAACAAAATTTAAAAATGAGGTGCTAACTTTTGAAGACAATGAGATAATTGTACTCTACCATTGACTCACACTGTGCAATACTTTATATATTATATAATATAGTACCGTTGGCAACCACATCATGTGCTAAAGTAACAAGGACGGAGATACGAATGTCTATTTCACAATAACGCTCGTGCGTTTCATTTATTCCGACGAAAAGTGCTGTGGCGCGAATTCGCACGAAATCAATAATAAAATATCCGAAATTCTTAATGCCGGATTACAATATTCATTGGCCAAAGCCGAACATCCGTTCCGGACGGTAAAAGTATTCGTATTAAGTGGAGCGCAAAATGCAAATAACTTTCAAACTTTTCGAACTCGCCAAACTTTCGGAGAATTCCGGCTTTGTTCGTCACGTCACCGCGTGGCGGCGTCCTAGTCGTCATCCTGCACGCGAAATGTTCGACGGATGTTCCGTCTTTAAATCAGAGCTCGATTATTTCCGGTTCCTTCCAGTTTATCCCAGCGCGCAGCAGGTTGCAGAACCGCATAACGTAACTCACCGCCACGATCTGAAATTTTATTTATTTTAGTTTTTAACGATTTTTCGAAAAGTGTATGTTTGAGTTCATTCACTCATTCATTCATATTACTAGTGCAATTTGCCAGCACGGTTCTTATTTCTTTAAAAAATCTCACACAAATATAATTAGGCGTTCACGACTATCGGGGGGTTTCGAATTAAAGCAGTGGTTCCTAGCATTTTTTTTTCACTTTCAAAATTTGTTTTTTTCCAGTGAACCTCTGGACATCCACCTGGGCCACTTTGGGGACCACTAATCTAAAGTCTAGAACACTTATGAACAGGTACCGCTGGTTTCATAAAAAAAAACTGATACGACACTCAAAAGAACAGTTTTGAGCAGTGTATTATAGGCCACCATTTTCCTATTTCTTATACTGTCGCTGTCAAATAAAAAAAAATTGTCAGCGTTATCACAAATACATTAGAAAATAAAAGCAAGTGACACATACGAGCAGAGAGTAAAAAGCTAAAATTGTGACCAAGATAGAAAATGGTTGCCGTTTATCAGAGGTAGCTCAACATTTCAATGTAAGCAGATCAACTGTTTTTTGCATTAATAAATAGTGGAGACAAGAAGAAACGTTTGAAAGGAAAAGGGGATCTGGCAGACAAATAGTTAGCTCAGTTCAAGATGATCAGGCGTTCCTTTGGATAGTCGAGGATGACCCTTTCTAAAGCCCGACGAACGCTTTTACTACCCCAATTGAAGGAAGATTTAGTAGTTACAATTATGCCCAAATATTGTAGAACAGTGGAACAGTGTGGAACAGTGTGAAACAATGTGGAACATATTTACCCGGAAGGTAATTATATTTTCCAACAAGGCAACTATCCATAGTTGCACAATGGCTTCAAAAGACGAACATTGAAACCTTGCCATGGCCAAGTAACAGTGCTGACACTAACTGACACTAACTGACGCCGAAGCTGTGATTGTTCTTCTTCTTAAAGTGCCGGTCCTCTGTGGACGTTGGCTATCACGTTGGTCCATATTACTTTGTTTACTGCGGATCTGAATAGGGCTGTTGATGTCATTCCAGTCCATGCACGTAGGTTCCGCAGCCACGATATTCGTCTGCGTCCTGCCGATCGTCGACCCTCTATTTTCCCCTGTAAGATGAGTTGGAGTAGGTGGTATTTCTCATTGCGCATAATGTGTCCAAAGTATTCCAGTTTTCTGCGTTTGATGTTTGCTAGTAATTCCATTTCCCCTCCGATGCGCTCAATGACCGTTTTATTTGTCACATGATGTACCCACGAAATTCTGAGGATGCGGCGGTAGCACCACATCTCGAAGGCATCTATACGTTTGCACGAGGCATCGGTAAGGGTCCATGCTTCTGTCCCATAAAGGAGGACCGAGAGAACATAACAGTTCAGGACCCTTATTCTAGTGCGGATGCTGAGGGATAGGTTACAGAGTATGTTTCTCATTTTGTTAAATGTGCTTCTTGCTTTTTCGACTTCGGCACTTTATTTCTCGAGAGTGGTCCCAATCTTTGTTCAAAGTACAGCCCAGGTATGTAACTGTCTCTGCTGCTTTGATGGTTTCGTTGTTTGCAGTAAACTGTAGGTTTCCAATATCGTTTTTACTGATAATTAATATTTGTGTTTTTTTACAGTTTATCTTCATACCGTATCCTTCGCATGCAGTCGCCACTCGGTCCACAAGTCTCTGAAGCCCCTCGGCAGTGTCGGCCACAAGAACGGTATCATCCGCATATCTCAAGTTGTTTGTAATTTGACCATTTACTACAAGTCCGTCCTCTGTATCATCCAATGCTTCCTTGAATATGCAGTATGCAGCCCTGGCGCACTCCCCTTCCAACGCTAAATTCTGCTGACGTTGTGTTTTCTACTCGAACCATAGCCTTTTGTTGTAAGTATAGTTTTGCTAGGATCTCCGTGTCTCTGTTGTCCATTTCTGATTCTCGTAGCATTGCGATGAGCTTATCGTGCCGAACCCTGTCGAAAGCCCCCTCGAAGTCTATGAAACAAGTAAAAACGTCTGCATTGACGTCCCGTGCTCGTTGGATCAGCACTTGTATGGCCAACAAGGCTTCTCTAGTGCCAAGTCCTCTCCTGAAGCCAAACTGATTAGCACTTATGTTCTCGTCGAGTCGTTTGTAAATTCGTGCTTGTATTATATTGAGGAAGGCCTTTAAAGCATGACTCATCAGGCTTATAATTCTGTACTCTGAGCATTTAGTTGCGTTCGCTTTCTTGGGTAGCGGGATAAATGTTGACTCAACTCTTCAGCATATCATTGAGCGTTACTGTAACGAAAATAGGGTCGCGTCAAGGGTAGCTCCAAATAAGATCTTCAATGAAAGTGAGGAAAGATGGATTGTAAGAAAGGTATCGATTTATCACAAAAAGTGCTCCAAAAATGTGTGTCGAGGTGGAAAGACATTTAGGAAAAAAGGTATAGACGCGTTAGATTGGCACTCGCCAGAGAGCATATCGATAAACATTTAGACTTCTGGAATTCAGTAATATTTGCCAAAGTAAACTTATTTGGATCCGACCAAAAAATATCAGTATGGATAGAGCCTAAGGAAGAATTAAAATGGAAAAATTTAAAAGCTATGGTGAAGCACGGTGAAGGTGGAGTTATGTTATGGGGCTGTATGTCATCTGCTGGAGTAGGTAATATGCATGTCATTGAAGCAAATATGTGTATTTGGATATATTAAGACAGCATCTGGATGTTAGTGCTCAAAAATTAAATATCTCTCATGACAATGATTCAAAGCACATGTCATTTCGGGTCCGCAGTTGGTTGCTTTATAACCTCCCAAATGTTATTAAGACACCAGACCAGTGACTAGACTTAAATGTAATTGAACATTTGTGGGTGATATTAAAAAACAAACTAAATGGTCCCCAATATCTAACAAGAATGAATTCAAAGTAAAAATTACTTAAATATGGAACACAATTTCCCCGGAGTAATGAAAATTCCAATTGTTCCATATCTCACAACCAATCATATTATCCCCTATGACTTTGACTGATATTATGGATGACGTAGTAAAAGCACAAGATGAGAACAATGCTACGGTTCTAGTTATATTTGATCATCAAGGTACCTTAATGTCTATTTTAAGGTATATTGATTTTGATGCGGCTGCCTTCCCACTAATAGTCTCATTTTTGACCGATAGGTATCAGAGGATCGTTTACGATCGCTGGTCTTCAGATATAGTTAAGGTTAGAATGGGAGTCCCTCAAGAAAGTATTCTCCTCCTTCTCCTCCCCTTCCCCTCCTTTATGGTATATATATATGTTTAACGTCGTAAATTATCTCCAGTATTTTTCAAAGAAAATTCCACAGGCTACTGTAATACTTTTTACAAAACTTCTGAAGCTAACAGGATGATTGGCGAAACATCAGCAATTTCGACTAAGCAAAAACCGACGCAGGAGGAATCCAGAAGTTTTGTAAAAAGTATCTTCAGTATTGTAAGTATCTTTTATACGCCAACGATATCCAGATTTACACATTCTTTTCGCCGGCGCACAAAATAATTAAGTCAAAATATCCTCCCTATCTTCAACTAATATATCGTACGGATGTTCACAACATTAGTATTCGTATACAACATTTGCTAACTATACCTGTTCATAAAAAAGATTTTTCCAATTGTTTTTCCTAGCAGATTGCGTTTATAATTAATAAATACAAAATAAATGATTTTACCCAATCTATTTTCTCATGAAATGCAAATTTTTGACACTCTAATAACTATCACTGTATTTTAACAATGGCTAAAGAAACATCCTTTTTTCTCTTTGCCTGTAGGCTTATCTTCTTTCTTTTCTTTCTTTTGTATCCTGGCATTCTTCTATACCGTTCTCTACACAAGGTAAACTTCAATTACTGTATTTAAGGCGAATTCGAAGTGTTGTAATGTGTATTATTTATTTGTTATAAGTTTAGTTGGCTTCAACAGCACCTTCCGACGACATTATTGTTTACTATTTTACCACGTTCTCTGCGTATGCAAAAATTGCTAATGCTCAATATGCTGAAGGAATCAAGTGTGTTCTAACCAAATCTAAAGTTGCGAGTGGGATATCTGTAAACAATACCTCGAAGAAGACCATTTTCCGCAGTTTAAAAAATGAAGTTGAAGAAGAAGAAGATAAAAGTTAATAAATCAAAACATCGTACAAGGTTGACTGACGATAATTTAGAAAATTCTTTACGTCTTTCTATCAGTGGAATAAATCCAAATTTTGCGGTTTAATTATAATGTACCTATTGTTTTCATTTCATTTTGTTATTGTATTAAATTTTTCATATTAATAATCCATAAATTTTATAAAATTATGAACACTACTTTGAAATACGCAGCTCGCGAACGTATTTGCATATTAAAGTTTGGCCCACAATATGTCAAAGGTTGCCCATACCGGATTTCCGGATTTAGGCTTAGGTACACAGTTTCACAAAACAACACAACAAAAAATGTCATTGCAAATTTAATTAACTAAATTAAAATTAAAATATAGTATAGTACACTACACTTTTCTGAAATAGCCTATAACGGATTCAAAATTATAATTGGCAAAATGTTATCGTGTGGGGAATTCAATTTTAAAGCGCGTTACGCGAGGGAAACTCTCTCCGTCCATAATATCATCAAAACAAAACAGATTTCGGTGTCGGCTCCAAGAGTTAACTAAACACCAAATCCGAGGAAGAGAAAGGAAACAAAACAAAGAAGAAAAAACGTAATTTAATTTGGCCGAGTTCCCTCCGAGGGACCGGAGGAAAAATATATAAATTATTCATTCGGCACTTATCTGGAAACCCCGAAACAGGCTTTTTACAACTTTTATTTTTCACTTACATTAATCAGCGTCCTCGAGATGAAAAACGCCACTTCTGCTTTGCACAGCGCGTCGAATTCCTAAAGAACACAAAAAAATGATTATAAGGCGAGGAAAATTGATATACAATGAGTTAAAACCTCAGCCCTGATAAATGCCGAAGTTATATGGTATCGTTTATCAAGGCAGACGTAGAAGTCGTTTATCTTATGCCCGATAGATACGGTACACCTTATGCATGTGTTTCCCATGTATTTTTTTCTAAAATATAACTTTATTGCTCATTGCTCATTGCAGAAAAACTTTGTATATAGCACTTTAGTCAAGCAAAATATTAAGTATACTGTATTTTTGGTAAGGTAAATTTAAGTTGCTTTCAATGATTCCGGTTAGCCAATTAAGGAGACTCGGACCTATCTCCCGTGGTGGGTGGTGTTCGAACATTTTCGGAAATAATTGTCAATAGCTTCAAAATGGCTAAACGCATTTTACCAAATTCAACTGAGCAGATTGATTTAGATTGCTTGCATCGCCGTGTAACGGGTTCAATTTGTGATTGGCTACTTCGACTTATGTTTCTCACAGGTAGGTTAATAATGCTCGGAGACTACCTATCGAATGTTTTATTCTCACAATTACACACTGTCTTAATCCTCAAAACTACTGGTATTGCTAATTATTCTTCACTACTTCATTCTGTTCGAACACACTGTAACTGCTTAATTGATTGGTGTGGTTTGCCTGCCCTAAAATAAATGTAAATAAGTGCAAGCCCTTACTCACTTTGCTACCGATTTAAAGCAGTAAGTATAGGACCCAAGCAGCTCAGTTTCTCAAAATATGGGCGGGGTATAGAAAAAAATAAATAAATAAATAAAAGGTTGGAAACCCGGGCGCCAGCTAGGATAATACCCCAACCTATACTAAAATTTAGTGACAGTGACTAGTGTCCTTGCTCACTAGCCACCAAACAAACTCACAAAGTTAACAAAATCCTAGGCAAATAAATAATAAATAAACAAGACAGGCACATCAGTTTAAATCTCCATATATTGGCTACTGGATCAGATTCTCAATCACAGAGCTGGGAAACTGAGTACACGCCAAATACTTAAGTACACAATAAACACAGGAAGCTTGGTTACGATCGATCGTTTACAAACAATTATCACAATTGGTTACTTTATCTTTACCCTAACTCAGCTCTTTAATTTATATTGGTGTTACACACATATTGAAATTTGTGTTTAATAGGCATAGAATTAACCGGAACGTAAATAAAATGGGCTTATCTGTGATCCTCCAGTTACCAGCAACGAACGAGTGGGGCAAGCTCTAGGACAGCTGTTCTGTATACTGCCTACGTTTGAGAGTCCTTTTCTTAAGTGGGGATAGAACATTTTGTATGTACAAAGTCTCGTCTCTCGGTTAAAGGCGGGAGACATAAAAAAGTGTTTCACGTAACTAAAAAATGCCTAAGAGTACGCCCAAGGATACACACATGTTTGCAGTTATAAACTATAAAAAATGGACCTGGTGGCGAGCTGAAAAATAAAAAATAAAAATGTCGGAGAGACATATCCTATGACAAATGAGAAAGGATTAGGGAAAGCATCGTTAAGAAAATAAATAAATAAAATAAAGTAACTAAATAAATAAATTTAAAAAAATCTGGTTTCAGATTTCTCTGATCTGGAAGACAAATGACGAGGAGGTGTAACAGTGTCTAGGTGATGATCCAAACAAACCGATAGATAATCAGTAATATTTGCACCCTGAGTTAGTATCCATATGGAATACTGAGATAACCATAGCTCAGGGGATTTCGCCAGAGGTGAAAAGCACATTGTTAGAAAAATACACTTTACAGGGGAATTATAATTTAGAGCCCAGCCAAGTTAAACCAAGATAATACCTCGTTAAGTGATACGGTCAGGAAACATGATGATCACTTTATAGACACTCGGAGATTGCTTGAAATAAGAATTGCTTTGTTAGGCTTGGTGATTTCTGAACTGTTAGAAAACAAAGAGGAGGGAGTAGATAGACTGCACATTTTGGAAAAATTATGTGATGTTGGAAAAGTGTTGGCTCAAGTAAATTACCCTCAGTTGTTTGCTCGTAAAGCGTATATTTCCCCCGGACTGGATAAAAATATTCAAAAGGTCTTTGATTCAAATACAATTGGCACCCATTTGTTTGGAGAGAGCCTAACCCAAAAGCAAAGGCAATCCGAAAAACAAGTTTGGCATTGAACCCCAGTTTGACGGTAAGAGCTACAACACCAAGAACCAATCTACTCTGAGTACCAGGAAGTTAAACTGAAAAATCCCACCTGTTGGTCAACCAAACTACCGACAGGTTGGCATCACGGTACGGAGTCGAACTCAACAAACGAAAGCGGGAAGAGTAAAGGATTTTTCTTAAACATTGGCGCCATATAACAAGTGACTCAAGTTATAAGATTACGTTTGCTAGGAAAACGGGACCAAGTTTTGTTTCGAAAGAGCAACAGTGGTGTAGCTAAGGATATCCGGATATAACATTAGCATTGAATAATTTGTTGGTTATCGGGGATATATAGCCTTGTATATTTGATGAAGGTCAGTTAATTGCATCTTGTTTTCAGTTCCAAACCCAGATGGTACAAGAGATTTTATATTAAACTTAAAAGAGTTATATAGGTTTATCGATAGAGTCTATTTTAAGATGGAAGATATTCGAACCGTTACAAAATTATTACCGCAGGGTGATAGTAAAAATTTTTTTGAGGTTTAATTTTAAGGGTAGATTATTTCAGCTTTGTTGCTTGCCATTCGGTTTATCTACAAGTCCATATGTGTTTACAAAATTTTTAAAATCTGTAACAAACCACTTAAGAGGAGAGGGTATGTTTCTGCTGTATATTTAGATGACATTCTTTGTTTTGGAGCATCATATAAAAGTTGTTTATGTAACACACATGCAACGATATCCATATTTACTTATTTAGGTTTCCTTATAAATTATAGAAAGAGTTCTGTACCTGCACCTTTTTAAAAACAACTTAATTAATGGCTATGTTAAGATGGTTTTTGCGGTAGACGATGTTGCAGAATTAGAGAGTTTTCGCGGTTAATAGGACATTTAATTTCAAATTATCGGGCCATGGATTATGGGTGGATGTATAGTAAACATCTAGAACGAGAGAAATTTGTAGTTCTCATTCTTAGTGATGGTGATTATGACCATCATATGGTTATATCGAAGACTTAAGATTTCCTTTGGTGGATATTTCATGTACAGAATTCATCTAACCCAATCAGGAAATTTCAGTTTAAGTTAAAGATCTTTTCGGCTCAGAAAGTCCTTTGCAAAAGACTTAGAAAATTGCGAAATCCTAATTATATCAGAATACGACAGCAATATTATATATAAATAGAATGGGGGTGTTCAGTTTCCTCGTTAAAAGGGGTTAACCAGCTCAATTAGCAATGGTGTGAACATCGAAACATATGGTTATTTGTATCATACATCCCAACCAGGTATAATTTTATTGCAGATGAAACATAATTAAATACAGAATGGCAATTAGCAAATTGGGCTTTAAGGAAAATAGTTTAAAAAATTGGTGAACCCCAGATTGATTGTTTTGCGCAAAGTGTTTTGAAGAAAATAATATTGGAAAAATCGGAGGAAATTTTAGTTTTAACTTTATGGACTGCGCAATCCTGGTTGGTATCCTGCATTCCTTTCTCTGCTTTTAGAGGATCCTGTTATTTTTAAACATGATGTAGGTTTACTTCTCTCTCCTTGCAGAACAGTATACCATCCATTGGCAGCTAAACTTACGTTGATAGCAGGCAAGCGTATAAGCGCATCAGTGTCATCTTATGATATCTTGTTAGCGTCTATCTCCAACGCCATACCTAAGCAATATGATTTAGCGCTAAAACTGGTCTTTTTTTTGTTTTACTAATAGAGTATGTCCCTTTTTAAATTTGCTTTTAATGATGTGTAAAATTTTCTCACTCAGAAATTTAATGGAGGTGTTTCTTATGCAACTTTGAACACCATTAGTTTAGTGATTTGATTAATTTCTTATAAATCTGATCCATGCAAAGGTCAGATAGTAAAAAAAAAAAATTTTAAAGGGATTTTTAGGAAAAGACCTTTAAGGCGCAAATATGAGAAAATATGGGATGAGTCACTTTTTTTAGATTTCATCAAGACATTTTTCGATTGAGTCTTTGTCGTTACAGAAACTGACTGAGAAGGCTCTCGTGAGTGTACATCGGGCACAGACGTTTACCACTATAGATACTGATAATACGAAAAAAAAGTAACGCATCGTAAATTTCATCCCCTCCTAGTATTACCGTTTTTTGAAGAAAAAGCAAAACTGTGTGTAACAAGTACTCTTGTACAATATTTGGAAAGGACCAAGCTTTTAAGGGGTAATGTGAAAATTTTATAACAAACTCATTTCGGAAGAAAAATAAAAAGATTAGAAGTCTGGAAGAAGGATTGTTATTTAATGGAAGAAAAAGAAAAAGAATAGAAATCTGGAAGAAGGATTGTTATTTACTTTATTAAGTGTTGAACTTTAATATTGATAGATAGAAGTTGCGTGTTGTGGGCAATGTTTTAGGTCGAATAAAGATGCGTTTTGCTTTAAACATCTACGTTATGTGTAATATTAAAGAACGAAGCTGAAATATAGTTAAATGATTAAACAAACTTACCTAAGTGAAATTACCTTTAAACGTTATGAATTATGATATCGATAGCGGTCGGTGGTGAAGAGGGACCGGGAGGGGATTATTTTTTGTTTTCAGGCTTTGAATTCGTGACGTCATCGGAGGTCGTAGTACTACGTTATGTGTACTCTTAAAGAACGAGGATGAAATATAATTATGATCGAACTTCACTAAGTTCGTTTGATCATTCAATTACCCATCTGTCCACGCGAAATTTTAAATTTTTAAAATTGTGTGTTTTGAAAAACAAAGTATCAAAAATTATGATGGCGGTGTGGTGTTTAAGTGCCAATCACATTAAGATTTTATTTTATGTATTTTGGGTGTTGTGTATTTGGGTG